GTATGTCTGGTAGAATTGAGCTGTGAACCTGTCTGGAGCTGGATTTTTTTTGGTTGGTAGGTTATTAATTGCTGCCTCAACTTCAGCCTTTGTTATTGGTCTATTCAAAGTTTCAAATTCTTCCTGGTTTAGGCTTGGGAGGGTGCAAGTGTCCAGGAATTTATCCATTTCTTCCAGGTCTACTGGTTTATGTGCATAAAGTTATTTGTATAATCTCTGATTGTAATTTATATTTCTGGAATCAGTGGTGATATCCCCTTTATTGCTTTTTATTGCATCTATTTGATTCTTCTCCCTTTTCTTTTTTATTAAACTGGCTAGTGGTCTATTTTGTTGATCTTTTCAAAAAACCAGCTCCTGGATTTATTGATTTTTTAAAGGTTTTTGTGTGTCTCTGTCTCCTTCAGTTCTGCTCTGATCTTAGTTATTTCTTGTCTTCTGCTAGCTTTTGAGTTTTTTTAAATCTCACTCCTCTAGCTCTTTCAATTTTGATGATAGGGTGTCGATTTTAGATCTTTCCTCACTTCTTAGGTGGGCATTTATTGCTATAAATTTCCCTCTAGACACTGCTTTAAATGTGTCCTAGAGATTCTGGCACATTGTGTCTTCCTTATCATTGGTATCAAAGAATATCTTTATTTCTGCCTTCATTTTATTGTTTATCCAGTCAATATTCAGGAGCCAATTGTTCAGTTTCCATGAAGCTGCGTGGTTCTGAGTTAGTTTCTTAATTCTGAGCTCTAATTTGATTGCCCTGTGGTCTGAGACTGTTATGATTTCTGTTCTTTTGCATTTGCTGAGGAGTGATTTACTTCCAATTATGTGGTCAATTTTAAAGTAGGTGCAATGCGATGCTGAGAAGGATATGTATTCTGTGGATTTGGGGTGGAGATTTCTGTAAATGTCTATTAGACCTGCTTGGTCCAGATCTGAGTTCAAGTCCTGAATATCTTTGTTAATTTTCTGTCTCGTTGATTTGTCTAATATTGACAGTGGAGTGTTAAAGTCTCCTACTATTATTGTGTGGGAGTCTAAGTCTCTTTGCAGGTCATTAAGAACTTGCTTTATGTACCTGGGTGCTCCTGTTTTGGGTGCATATATATTTAGGACCTTCTTGATGCGTTGATCCTTTTACCGTTATGTAATGCCTTTCTTTGTCTCTTTTGATCTTTGTTGGTTTAAGGTTCATTTTATCAAAGAGTAGGATTGCAACTCCTGCTTTTTTTTTTGCTCTCCATTTGCTTGATAAATCTTCCTCCATCCCTTTATTTTGAGCCTATGTATGTCCTTGCACGTGAGATGGGTTTCCTGAATACAGCATACTGATGGGTCTTGACTTTTTATCAAATTTGCCAGACTGTGTCTTTTGATTGGGGCATTTAATCCATTTATATTTAAGGTTAAGATTGTTAAGTGTGAATTTGATTCTGCCATTTTGATGCTAGCTGGATGTTTTGCCAGTTAGTTGATGCATATTTTTCATTGTGTCAATGGTCTTTACCATTTGGTATGTTTTTGGATTGGCTGGTACTGGTTGTTCCTTTCCTTGTTTAGTGCTTCTTTCAGGTAGGCCTGGAGGTGATGAAATCTCTCAGCAATTGCTTGTCCATAAAGGAATTTCTTTCTTTTTCACTTATGAAGGTTAGTTTGGCTGCATATGAAATTCTAGGTTGAAAGTTCTTTTCTTTAAGGATGTTGGCCCTACTCTTTCCTGGCTTGTAGGGTGTCTGCCAAGAGATCTGCTGTGAGTCTGATGGGCTTCCCTTTGTGGGTAACCTGACCTTTCTCTCTGGCTGCCCTTAGCATATTTTCCATCATTTTAAACCTGGTGAATCTGACAATTATGTGTCTTGGGTTGCTTTTCTTGACAAATATCTTTGTGGTGTTCTTTGTATTTCCTGGTCTTGAATGGTGGCCTGGCTTGCTAGGTTGGAGAAGTTTTCCTGGATAATATTCTGAAGAGTGTTTTCCAGCTTGGATTCATTCTCTCTGTCACATTCAGGTACACCTCTCAAATGTAGATTAGGTCTTTTCACATAATCTCATATTTCTTAGAGGTTTGTTCATTTCTTTTCACTCTTTTTTCTCTATTCTTGCCTTCTCATTTTATTTTATTGATTTAATCTTCAATCTCTGATATCCTTTCTTCTGCTTGGTTAGTTCGGCTATTGAAACTTGTGTGTGCTTCACCAAGTTCTCGTGCTGTGTTTTTCAGCTCCCTCAAGTCATTTATATTCTTCTCTAAGCTGTTTATGCTAGTTAGCATCTCATCTAACCTTTTTCAGGGTTCTTAGTTTCTTTGCATTGGGTAAGCACATGTTCTTTTAGCTCTGAGAAGTTTGTTATTACCACCTTCTGAAGCCCGTTTCTGTCAATTTATCAGATTCATTCTCCATCCATCTTTGATCCCTAGCTTGTGAGGAGTTGTGATCCTTTGGAGGAGGAGAGGTGTTCTTGTATTTGGTGTTTTCATCCTTTTTGCACTGGTTTCTTCCTATCTTAGTGCCTTTATCTACCTGTGGTCTTTGTAGTTGGTGACTTTTGGATGGGGTCTCTGAGTGGATGTCCTTTTTGTTGATGATGAAGCTATTTCTTTCTGTTTCTTAGTTTTCCTTCTAACAGGCCCCTCTGCTGCAGAACTGCTGGAGGTACACTCCAGACCCTGCTTGCTTGGGGATCACCTGTGGTGGCTGCAGAACAGTAAGGGTTGCTACCAGTTTCTTCTTCTGTTATCTTTGTCCCAGAAGGGTATCTGCCAGATGTTGGCCTGAGCTCTCCTTTATGAGGTATCTCTTTGGGTATATGGGGGTCAGGAGCTGCTTGTCTGTCCCTTATAGGAGCTCAAGTGCTATGCTGGAAGCTCTGTTATTCTGTGCAGAGCTGCTGGGCAGGTACTTTTAAGTGTGCTGCAGCAGAACTCATAACCACCTCTTTTCCCAGGTGCTCTGTTGTAGGATGGTCGACTTTATTTATAAGTTCCTGTCATGTTGCTGCCTTTTTTCTTGGATGCCCTACCCCACATGGAGTAGTCTAGTCACAGTCTGCCAGCAGAGGTGTTGCTGAGCTGCTGCAGGCTCTGACCAACTGCTGTGTGAACTGCCTTGGTAGTGGCAGACTGCCTCGGTAGTGGTGGCTGCCCTTACCCCCACTGAGCTGGACTGTCCTGGGTCCTGCTGTGCTTGCTGTGAAACTCTCAATCCAGAGCATTTCAGATTGCTTGTTTTGTGGGGGTGGTACCCGCTGAGCCAGATAGTCTGGTCCCCTGTGTCTGCCCCCTCCCTTTCAGTTGAATGGGCAGCTCTGTCTCCCAGGTGTTCCAGGCACCAATTGAGACGGCCACCCAGATTTGTGTTTCTGTGCTCCAATGTGACACCACTGAAACCGCTGTGCTGAAAACTCATGGCGCTTTTAGGCCCAGGAATCTCCTGCTCTGTGGGCAGTGAAAATTTGTTTGGAAATGCAGTGGGCACTCACCCTCTGTGTTGTTCTTGTCAGGAACCACACTCCAGAGCTGTTCCTATTCAGGCATCTTGGATCTTCCCTGACTCTTTTGCTCTTAACAGAATGGAAATCTTAGAAATGTTGATGAGACAATGACATGAATCATGACAAGAAAGAAATAATGGAAATACAAATATTAGAAAGCCAATGTTTGTGGATGTTTTAAACTCTCATATACATTCATAGGGCTTACTCCACAGGTATGTGCAACAGGTAATTCTGGTAGTTTCTAAAGATGCTCCCAATGAATTATGCCTCCTGGTATATCTTCCCTATGTAGTTTCCTTCTACATTGACTCTTGACTGGCCTATAACTTGTGTTCACAACAAATAGAATGTGGCAAAAGTGAAGCCCTGTGTCCCAGAGATTCTGGTACGTTAACTTTTTGTTCTCATTTGTTTCAAAGAATTTATTAATTTCTGCCTTAATTTCATTATTTACCCAGTAGTCATTCAGGAGCAAGTTGTTCAGTTTCTATGTAGTTATGCATTTTTGAGTGAGTTTCTTAATCCTGGGTTCTAATTTGATTGCACTGTGGTCTGAGAGACTATTATGAATTTCATAGACAAAATTGTATATATTTATGGTATACATAACATTTTAGTATATGTACACATAATGAGATGATTAGATCAAGCTACGTAACACATACATAACCGCACATAAATTTTTTTTTGGTTGCTGTTTTAATGCTAAGTTTTGGGGTGGCTTATTTCAGACAGCCTCAGCAGTAACTGTCTCTCTCATGTGACTTGAAAGATGTCTAAAGGTTTCCCAGTTGTGCAATATCTACAGGATCATTGAATGCCAAGTCTCCAGGGAAAGGAATGATGAAAGGGGAAGTTGCTGGAAGAAGGGAGAGGAGGAAGTTGAGGCCATAGAGACGAGGGCCCTAAAGGAAAACTTCAACTGCTTGCCAGTTTGGCCAGCAGTCTATTGGAGCAGGAACAGCTGTATTTAGACAAACAGTTTCAATGCTCTGTTTTATAGCTCTCTGAGCTTTCCCTTAGGTGAACTTATGTTTTGAAACTGTGTGTCATGTAGTACCAGCTAGAATAAAACCAGCATTATACATTGAGTTCTACTGTGATTATTTTATTTTAGTTCTGTTCCATGTCTAATGACCACCAACCTTGAATATCAATGTGTGCAGTCCATAGGGAGACCAGGACAGATTCACAAGTTCAATGGGGCTACTGGAAACATGTTCGGCTGTTTCTTTACTCATAGAAAGTCAGAAAAATCATTGTTATGTAGGAAAGACAAGATATTTTAAGTACTTATTTCATTTGATAATGTTGTTTTTCTCTTCACTGTCAAGAAAAACCATTTAAAAAGCATGTCTTTGTTTTCTTTGCTCTTAAATCATAGTTATTCTAAAGAAAAATGTAAAAATGAAAGTTATCTAGGTCTATCAATTCTTACTTTAAGTAATATCTGCTTTATTAGTGTATATAGGATTTAAAAGAGTTATAATGAAGTATTTTAACCACGTAAATATTGTTTCATAGCATTTTTAATCATTGTGAAAGATAAGCCATTTTCTTGTTGGTTCTCAATATTTTCCTATCTGTATTCAAATTAATGCAGAAGTAATAGCCATTGTCTTACTCACTGGTAGCAAGGAGTTACATTATAAAAGCTTCTTGTACAAAATTTTATTCACTAATAGAAAAAAAAGAAAAAATAATGGAAAATTGTTAACATTTAAAACAGTGTAGAATACATTGCCCATTCTAAATGGTTTGAGGTCTTAAAGAGTCTCTTCCTGGGTTTTTGAACATTCAAGTCTACTAAATATCACAGCCAAAGAGTTCCAGGCGAAGTGCAATACTTTGATTCCATGTTTTAGGAATGACACGGATAAACCTGGAAATGATTGGGGGGTTGAAAAAGTTCTTCACATGTCCTCTGGTATTAGTATTTCCTTCAAAAATCTGAAAGCAAAATATGAGAAAATCTTTAATGACAGTATAATGGATATATAAAAATATTACAGATAAGTTTTTATAATATTTAATAAGATATTTGGTGCTATCCCTATTGAATAAGTTTTTTTTTTTTTTTTAGACAGGGTCTTATTGTGTTGCCCAGGCTTAAGTGCAGTGGCACAATCATGGCTCACTGCAGACTTGAACCCTTAGGCTCAAGTAATCCTCTTGCCTCAGCCTTCCAAAGTGCTGGCATTGCAGGCATGAGCCATCACGCCCAACCCAGGTAATTTTTTTATGCTATTAGCTCAAAATGAGTATGTAAAGGAACACATAGAACACTATCACAAAGATGATCCTCTACCAGTTACAAAATCACATGCCAGATAGACTCCGTTAGGGATTTCATCTCACCAGTGATCTGAGTTAAATTGGGGAAAAATAAACAAGTCATACATAGTGCTGTGGAGCAGCTGCAAAACCAGCTCTGCCCTCAGCTCCTTTGTATTATCCGTGTGACTGAACAAGTTACTTATTCTCTGATTTTTCATTTTCTCATAGGCAAAATAAGGTTAATAAAATTTTACCTCATGAAAGTCATTGTAAAGATTTAAAAATGAATGTAAACATAAATGCATAGTGTCAGGAAGTGTCCACCAATATATGGTTAATTAGTGCTAACATTTAAAATAAAATGTGACCATGCATTTAAATTTATTTATCCTTGTTGGCATGTACCTTATATCCTCAACTGAACTGTGTGACTACCCCGCCCCCCCACCAATTATCAACAAGTTCCCTAACGTTTATACACAGCAGAAATGAAATCACTATTTGTTTAGACAATGATGTTTATCCTCCTATGAGGGTAACCTGGTGTATGTAGTGAGAAATAAACAAACCAAAATAGACAACCAGGAGTTTAAAAGGGAGAAAGACAGGTTTAAATTCATTAACTGAGCTAAGTGCTGAGCATTTGATGAAAATTCATTAAATACCAGTTCCTTTCTCCTGTGCTGTCTCTCTACTAGCTTGAGCACAGTTTTCATTCCTGGAATATTACACCCATCTCCTTAGTTTTGCCTCTGGTAGTTTTTAAACCACATAACTAGGAGGTAGAGGAATGTAGAAATGTAGTGGAGTAGTTTGTTTTGCAGGAAATCTAGTCTCATCATCAGTAAGGACATCAATTATTTTCTGTTTAATAACAATCTCATCGTCAGTAAGGATATCAATTGTTTTATGTTTAATACCAATGTAACACAGAAAGGTTTGTGGCATTGGGCATTTGATCAGTCATGAATAACAAGTACATCTAAGGTAATGCTAACGTTGTTATTTCACAGTGAAAGGTTTTCTGGATCCCTTCAGTATCTTTCTCAATTAGAACTAGCTAAACCTTACAATATTTTCTGGTGCTTTGGCATCACTGTTTCACAGGTGGCACTGTCAAAGCAGAAAGGTCATGTGCATGGTCTCTGTCCTGAGACCAGACACCTGAAGAACTAAGATTCAGAAGACTTAAAGAGGTGGTACATATCAGTGCATATTTGTCAAATGCAAAATACTGTTATTCTCATCAGAGCACAGTCTTCAAATTGCTTTCTCTTTACCCAGATGCCACTCTACCTTGTCAACCATGGAGGATTTCAGCCTGTAAGGTTTCCATTCTACTCCCTGGTCACTGTAGTGGATGCTATAGCTCTTTACATACATTTCAGAGGACAGCGACTTGCAGCCCTGTGTTATAATCGCAGTTATCTTCTTGATTTTGAGTAGATCAATTTGTAACCACTGTTTGTTGTTGTTTGCCTATAAAAATGACAAAACCACATAGATAAGGAAGATGTTAAAACCTTTGCTTTTTTTTTCTTAGACTAAAATACCAAAAATTTTAAAAAGCACAGAGCTCAAAAGGATTTTGTTCTGTCTTATCCCTTAGGATTCACTGTCTCCTAGAAGCTATTCCTCTTTCTTCTTTGTGGCCACAACATGTGTATAAATTTCTATTGGAAGTATTTCATACATTGTACTACAATTGTTTCCTTCTTAGTATTCTTTACTGCTTGAGGGTAGAGGCTTAATTAGTTTTGTTTTCTGGTACTCACCACAATGTAAGACATTCAGTTGATGTTCAATAAATAGTTGAATAAATGAATAAATAAATGAATTTTATTTGGAAAAAATTATTAAATTGCTAAGTTATCTGTAAATATTACTTTCTTAAGCAATATGATAATATTGCTGAAGAGTTATCTGGGAACTAATTGGATAGCATCCTCTCTCTGTTTCACTTATTTTACAAAAACCCAACGTCTCTTTCTCCCTGCTAATGTCAAATAGCAGAAATAGTTCAATTTCTTCTGATATTTTACATAAATGTAATATTTGAGAGACCTGATAAAACCATAAGTAGAGCTTGATACACAGTACAGGTATTGTTTTGTCTTCAGCCTAACAAAATGCCTAATCATAAGGTTGGTGAGATGCATTCGGAGAAAGATCAGAAGGTTTAACTGAGTCCTGGAATAATCTGAGATAAATTTTTACCTTTGGGAGATTTATCATCTACCATAGACTCCTTCACTCCTAAAGGGAATAATATTGACATGTTTCTTCAACATCACCCACATATACATAGGTGTATGTGTATATATAGGTGATATAGGTATATGTGTATATATACAAAACTCTACATGCCATGCATATTTTAAAAGAAAATTGACTGAATTAGAATGATTATATGAGAAAACTTTTAAGTCTATAACATCCTGTAATGACATCTGGGTGGTATCTTAGTATGTCTTCAAATCAAGGTTATACCAGTGATACAGAGTATACGTTGCTAGAAGGGTTTTGTAGGCATAACAGAGATAGAGATATTTTAGTTAAGGAGAGAATAGCATCTATGCACATGCCTGCATGTGTCCAGCTTTGATTTTCAACCTCTCTAAAGAGACCATATAAAGATATTTCATGTAAATGGAAGGTTAAGTGAAACACATATTTCTGATCCAGAAGTCTAACTTTGAAATGACAGCATTAAAAATCAGCATTGTCTTTGAAGCCTTTATTATATCACAAAGACTAAGAGCAAATTATAGAGTGTGCAAATTTTTTAAAAAGGTTTTAAAGTGAAGGATAGGGTGACAAGGTTATACCATGAACAAGTCCAAAGAGTCATCTGAAAATGAATTGAATAATATCTCTTTATTATTTATATTGATACATAAATTATATAAATATAATGTAATGTGACATTATTTTTGTTGTTTTAACTTCTCTGGGTACCAGCTTTCCCCTCTGCAAAATTGCAAAATGAGGTATTTGGGCTGCTTCAAATGGTGGAAGGAGCATGGCCTGTTTACTGGGAGAATGGGATTTAGTCCTACCAAACTAAGCTAAAATTATTTAATCTGTGTATTTAGACTTAAAAGGAAAAATTTAGACCAGATGTTTTGCTTCTTGCTACTGTAACATTCTGTGATTCTGTGATGGGCCAGAATGAGTTTCAAGACACAGATATCAGTTCCCACAACTGTGTGGAATCCAATCTTTTCTGTTTACCCCACAAGCATCACAATTCTTTTTTTCCTTTCTGGTAGCCTAATTTAAGGATAGGTGCTGGAATTCTATAGAAAGTCAGGGAATTGGAGTGTAGATATCTTAAGGGAGGAGATATGAGGATAGCAAGCAGGGAATTTAGATTTAGTTGGCTGAAGGGATCATCAAGTTACCCATGCCATTTTGATATCTCAGGTCATTCGAAGAATTAATAGAAATGAGTCAACTATCAAGGGTTACCCCAAAATTAAATCACCTGAATTACTCAGTGGGCTAATATCAGGGGTGATATAACTCTCTGGAAGGTGTCTGTTTAACTTGGATCACTGATTTTATAACTCTGATTTTGCAACATTTTACCATGCTTCTAGTTGTATCAAGGAATATCACAAAGCTCTTAAAATAAGGCAGGTGGGGAAGAAAACAAAAAAGTTTAAATGATATTTCATTTTAAGAAAATGAAAAATATTGATAAATTGTAAAGAAAAAATAAGAGATGATGTTGCAAATCTAAATCATTTGTTTATCACTAATGTAAGCTGTCTAAATGAGGAGTTTGCAAACTGTGGTCTTTGGGTCAAATCTGGCCCACTACCTATTTTTTGTAAACAAAATTTTATTGAAACACAGCCAGTTCATTCATTTACACCTTGTTTATGGCTACTTTCCTGCTATAATAGCAGAGTTGAGTAGTTATGGCAGAGAATGTATGGCCCACAGAGACTAAAGTATTTACTATCTGTCCCATTGCAAAAAAAAAAAAAAAAAAAAAAATGCTCATTCTTGGTTTAAATCAAGACTAGACCAAAAACCACAGAGATGATAAATGACTTCTCTCTGAGCCAAAGTTATAGTCGAAGCTATCAAGTCTACAGAAAACCTAGACTCTTGGACTTAGGATTTTAATCTGCAGAAACATTAAAATACTCCTGCTTCCCAGATCCCCTATGTTCACTATAGTGATGGCCTTTGTTTTCTTCTGCAGTGCTAAGAGAACACCATGCATAGCGTATACTTCACCTTCGCTTGCCAGGCATTCACACGTCCCTGAGCATTAAGACGGGCACAGAAGGGTTCCCAGTAATCTCCCCACCAAGATTTTTTAAACGAAGAAGCTGTGATTTGCTTGTTTTCTATCTTTCCGCTTTCCATACCCAGTGGTGTGGAACATCCTATCAAAATAAGAGTAATGTGATTAATTACACACCAATATTCCCTGCATGACATTTTGCACTGCAGAAGAGATAAGAAATAATATGACTAACAAGTAATGACAAAAATAATCACAACAATGAAGATTTATTGAATCCAAGTGCCAAATACTGTTCTCAGGCTTTACATGTATTATTTAATGCTCATAAATATCTCGACTTTAGTACAGCATAACACAGGAACTTGTCTAAGGTAACACAGCCAGAAGAATCAGAAACTGATTTGAACTCCAGACAATCTGATACCAAATACCATGTTCTAAACATTTAAACTCACTTCCTCCTTTTGAGAGTCATGGAAACTTTGGTCTTTGCTTTGAGGTGCCAATAATCCTAAACTACCCACATATAAAAAAACACTCTGTATCTTCTAATAAAATCTACAAAGAAGATACAATGGACCCTCCGTCACTATTTTATATTTTCTGTTTCAATCCTTAGAGGGGAATTCAAGTTATATACTCTTTGGAATTTTTCCAAGGTATGATTTGAATATCATAGGCAGCAAGGTAGACCTGTGACTGTAAGAAATACAGCTAGTGACCGAACCTGGCTGACAGCCCATTATCTCTGTGACACTTTGTTCTTGCTAGTAAATCATGCAGAAATATTCTTGAAGTGATGCCTTACTTTTTCCATGAAAAAGGAGCCCTAAAAATAACACCCAATGCTAATAATTACCTAAGTATTAGGAAAATGAATCAGAAGAAACTAAGGCTTCTTGTATAAAAAATTGATGTTTTAAATAAACAGAGTTGAATGTCACCTTTTAGGGTAGTTTATTAGGATCTGAACAACTCCACCATTTATACCACATGGAAAGAAAAAAACACAATGACTTATGGAACTGTTTAAAGGAGTGGTCCTGCAAATATGAGATTTGTGTTTTATTTGGGAGATGTTATAGACTACTTCTATCTGGACATTGGCAAAATACCCATATCCATCCAAGTGTATATTATCTGCTTCAATAAGAAACTGATTCCAGGGTTCAACTACTTTCTCCAATGTGAATCATGGCTTCTTTTCTCCACCCCAAGGAAGCACTACAGCTCCCAACAGGTGTGCTGCAGCAGGTTTCTGGTGTGCCTATTTATTGATTCCTCTTCCCACCTCCAGCCCTTGAGTAGCCAAGTGGAGCCTGGATCAGCCAAGCCTTAGATTCATTGCTTCATTCTTTTATCTCAGAATGCCAGGCAGATATTACTTTCTTTGTGTGCTTTGAAGTAAAAAATATTGGAAGGCACTGTTTTAAGAGTCCAAGAAGAACAGTTAAGACTCTTAAACATCCTTGTTACATACAGTAGAATTTTATTATGACCATTCATGATTACCTAGATTTATTTATTTAACAGGTCACATTACAGCCCCTGAGCAATAGCAGCTAACATAGAAAATACTTGAGCATCTACATAGGGTATGAAAGAAAATATAAAGAAGAATCATGGTTTCAGGAAGTTGGGAAGCCAACTCAGATTTCAAAAACACTCATTGAACACCACATATATAGTAGTGATGTTGCCAGATACTGTCATGAAGTTGAGGTCTGAATAACCTAGAGGGCTTTGGAAGAATCAGGCCTAGTTTGAATCTCAGGTAGGTCTTATTGAAAGTGGGCCTCTCCAAGGGCCCTTCCTTGGAGAATTGTGATGTGTCTATATAATCCAGGTACTTTCTTCAGAAAGATACTGTCTGCCCTCTGACTGGCAGAGCCAGTCTTGATCTAGGTCACACTGAGAGTTTACCTGAGTAGAACCTCTATTTCCCAAAAGGTTCTGTTTTCCCAAAAACCTAAATCGCTAAAGACAACTAAAAATTCTACTCATTCTCCTATATCACCCAAATCTTGATTCTTTGAGTGGCAGTGAGAAAATAATGCATCTTTGTACCTTACCGTTTACCTCACAACCTTGCAGCTCCAGTCGAAGGGTAGGTCTATTATAGGCTCGAGTTGGAGAGATCCTAATATATCTAGCCACAATAGGTGGGTCAAACTGATTCTCTTTTATTGTAGAAGCATCTGAATTGCCATTGAAATACTAGAAGGAAAGAGGAGGGTTTGGTTATTTTAATTATCAGTAATTATCTTAAAGTGACTTTATAATAAAATTTTGATTTAATTTAATATTGTAATATTACATTTTCATGGGGCCTGAACTACATCAATTTGGTCATAAAATATACTTGGGGATAATTCCACTTCCAGGAAGATTGTTTATATGTACTTTGCCCTATTCCTTCTGCTAAGTACAACTAAAAACTCTGGACATCATAGCTAAGAGAAACATAACAAGACCCTGAAAAGATCTCAGAAGGCAGACTGGCTAGGGTTCTTAGAAGGAACAAAATGGTGATGGGTGTTCTGAGTTTTGTTTTTGCCTCATAAATCCCAGACTTAGAGATGAAAAAGCCGGCAACCTGGAAACATCAATGAGTATAGACCGAAAAAGCCTGAACAAAGTCTGCTTTCTCTAACCAAAGTTCCAGGAATGGGCAGCCTAGTGAGATACAATAGAAAACTTGTGGACACTGACTTATCTCCTTTAGCCAACCCCACAGAAAAACCTGGGGCCCCTCCCCAGCCCACAACAGCAAAGGCTGAGTGGAGAGCATAGACTTCTTTGCTCATGAGGCTAAAGAGGGAGGCACCCCATCACCTTCATTGGGGTTGTGTCAGAAAAGGCCATCTCCAGCCCCTAATGAAGCTCCTGCTTCAGGTTTCTGCAGGTTTGGCCTGTAATGTCAGTGGAGGCCAAATGGGGAACTCTCCTTTCCACCCAGCCACAAAGAAACAATCCCCTCTTATGTGGCAGCGGAGTGGGGAACCTGGACTTTGACCCCCACCTGGCAGTAACCAGGCTCTGCCCTATGCCTTTTTCTGCCAGAGCAATGTCAGGAAAAGCCAATTTAAAACAAAACAAAACAGAAGATTGGAGCAGGTATCAATAATATTGAAAACATACAAATAGAGAAAAATCAATAAAGCAGAGCTGGTTCTGTGAGAAGTTTTTTTAAATTGACAAATCTCTAGCAAGATTCACAAATAAAAGAGGTACAGATGACAATATCAGGGATGAAACAGGCAAAGTTACTACAGCTGTGAAAAACTATAATAAGGGAATACTACAAACAACTCTACACACATAAACTTAACAACGTAGAGGGAATTGACCAATTAATTGAAGTATACAAAGTATTTTAATTCACCCAAGATGACATAGATAATTTGAATAGCCCTGTAACTATTTAAAACATAGATTTTATAATTTAAAAACTGCCCAAAAAGAAATCTGCAGGCCCACATGATTTCACTAGTGATTCCTACCAAATAGTTAAAGAATTAACACCAATTGTAGACATTCTCTTCTAGAATGTAGAAAAGACATGCTTACCAATAACTGTAGTATCAAAAACAGAAAAAGACAATTCAAAAAAAAACTATATACCAATATCCTTTCATGAACGTAGATGCAAAAATCTTTATTCTATCGACTCAACTGCAATCTGTGTTTTCTCTCATAATACTGATTAGTAAGAACCATAATTTAGGATTTCAGGGGTTTGTTCTGAAACATGTTATAATAATTATTAAAAAGAGTTAACTAATAATATAGTAAAATAGTAAAAAATTTATGTAAAATATAAGCAGAAACAGATTCAAGTTTATCAGTATAATAATGGCAGGCAGACTCCTTGCATTCAGATAGGTTTCTTGGGGGAAGAGAATATGGAGGAAGGGAAGAGTGAGGGCTTCTGGCCAAGCCCCTGGAAGATCTAGCAGGAGGATATCATTCCTCAGGCATGGCCCCCCAAAAAGTCTGAGAATCACACTGCCTCACAGGATTACTTGCATTAACACTACTATTTACTTCAGGTACACTGAAATAAAGAACAAAACAAATACAATAGAAAATTTAAAAGTCTTGGTAGCCAATTTTTAGCATGAGCTCCTTGAGGCACAAGACCAGATGTTCTGCTCTGCCATATACCATCGGCCAGTCTGAGAAATCTGGGTATTTTGTTTGATGATAGAATGATTTTTTAAAGTTTTATGGAGTTTTGAAGTTTCACTAAACCTGCTCCTCTAATTCCTAAGACACAGACCCATCATATTAATGCTTTACTCCATATGACCCTTAGAAAGCCATTCACATTTCTAACACACAGGAAGGTATTTTTAAAAATACATAAACATTAGACATAGTCATAATAACTCTAGGCTGAGTCTAGGGATTCAGACAGAAATATGCACACAAACCATCACATTCCTTGTGCTGTTCCCTTTGAAGATCTGCCAGTTGATCTGGTTGGAACTGTAAGCTACATAGAACTCTGTGGTATAGCAGGACTTCAGGTAGTGTTTGGCACCTTGGGTCTGGATCCCTGTGATTATGACTTCCTTTTGCATGTCCACCTGCCATACAGGAAAGCCAGTAAACAAAACTGTCCTTGTCAACAAGTCACACACTGCCTAAATTCATAATAGAATCAGCTTTCTTCAGAACTAAAGAGCCAGCACCTAAGATCTTAGCAAACTGATACAATGACTACACGCAATCCATATTTGGGCACAGAGTACCTAGATTTGAATCCCAGCTCAATGAGTAATTAGCTATGTGTTATTTTGGGAAAGTAGTTAGTATCTCTATGCCTTGGTTTTTTTCTTAACTTTAAAACAAGATATTACTAGAACCAACCTCAGAGGGTTGAGTTCAAGAACCTAAAGTATTTAGAATAGTGCCTAGCCACTTCGTACTTGCTATTTCCGCTAACAACATTGCAAGAACAGTAACAAGAAGGAATTACTAAATCACTTTCATTTTTATTATTACAACAGCAGTAAATATTATCAGTCTATTAAGACAAACCTGGATCCAAGGTTTAGAGGCAAATTCTGCTGCAAGTTTTTCTACACTCCAAGCATTATAAGATCCACCATTGTTTAATCTTGCTAATCTGGGCTCCCAGTAACCTAAATTCAGTGAAGAAAAAGATTTATTCTGAATTATTTTTTAAAACTCAGCAATTTCTCGAGTGAGTTTAATCCAGTGGAAAACCAGATCCTTGGAGGGCCTGTGTTGTAGCCAGGAGTCTAGGCGTGGGCCTCAGCTACTAAGATAGTCCTTGATGATGAAATCTGGACTTCAGGTCTGTGTTTGGTCAGCTGTCAACCACCACCTATGCCCTTTCTTGCACACAGGTCATGTTTGTTTTTTTTTTCTGTTTTGTTGATATACCTAACGCTGAATGTGCCTGCCTAACAGGAAGACATGGAAGGGGTATATGGGAGCCTCATCATCCTCTTGGTCATGACTTCTTGATCTTGGGAAGAGCTTTGAGGCAATGCGAGAAAACTTTGGAGGCGTTCCTAACACATAGTGGAGGTTCAACAAAGTTTTCTGAATATATGAATGGTTGCCACAGGCAAAGGGCCATATTAATGGGGATTATAATATTTGGCTGATAAGACCCTATTAATCTGGCTGAAATAACGTGTGGTCAAAACCAGAAAAGGTGACTGAGTAGAGTTTTGGAAATGGACACATGGTCAAAAGAGTAAGCTATCTGATCTTTGCCAAATCCCCTCAGAGAAGCTGGGCTCCTTATGTAGAGAAATCAATGACCTCCAGCTGTCAGTTTTTCCTGGAAAAGGCTTTTCGGGAACATTATACACAAGAAGGGGTGGCTGATAAGAGCACACTAACAGGCTTTTAGCTGCTGCCATAGTGTTCCTTCCTCTACGGGATTAGTACCCAAATGAAGCTGCTGCACTAGATTGCAGGAGAGAAAAGCATAAGGAGAAGAACCGATGCATAGTTAGGGTTGTCATGTATGGTTTCACAGGCTGCATGCTGCACAGTTGTAGGAGGTACTATTCACAGGCCACAGTGCTGCAACTTACCCAGGAACTCTGAAGCCTTGATCTGTGAATCAGATATGATACCAGTGCTTAGTCCCATTGGCATCTTACATTCTGTGAAAAACAGAAAAAATGAATACTTTTTGCTTAGAAAATATATATAATAAAGTAAAACTCCATGGTTAGAGATTATGTCTCTGACAGGTCGGTAATTAGATATTTTTACCTACCTCATGTGGCACTGACTTAAATATATCTGATTATAAATGGTAAATGCACTAACAAGACTGGTGCATTAATACAGTGGCATCCTAGAAGAAAACAACTGAAATCCTGAAATTTGATTGATTTTTAAACTCATTTCCTTCTGCTTTTATCTGAAATTATGCTATTTTATAATATTAAGTACTATCCATGGCCAGGTGCAGTGACTCATGCCTGTAATCCTAGTACTCTGGGAGGCCAAGGTGGGAGGATTACTTGAGGCCAGGAGTTTGAGACCATGTTGGGCAACGTCTTCTCTACAAAAAAAAAAAAAAGTTCTATCCCTCATGAGACTATATACTTAAAAGTTGACCTCAAAGTTACAACGTTATTTATATCAAGGAAGGGTTACCAGCCACCGTGCTACCTGGATGTTGACACAGGGCTTCGTACTCAGTGGGTGCTTAGTAATGATTTAAAGAATGGATGAATAGATGGACAGATGAAAACTGTTTCTTAAATGCTGAAATGCCAAGTTTAGTAACTATCTCAGTCATTGTTAAATTTCTGTTACCTTTTCTCTCCTTAACTCTTGGAACCTGGAGAATTTCTTACATGTACTTTCCCATGGATCACAAATCATGAAGGGCACTTTACGTATGTTTCCCAATTGAGAGAAATGCTTTTGAACTCACTGATATGTTTTCAATGCAATCAGATCATGGGTCAGAATAAAAGCAACTATGGCTACAAAGTATGCCTTTGTCACATCAGAGTTCTTAGAGTTGAATATTTCCAGTCTAAAAGTTGGTAATCTTCTAGTAATAGGTACTCTCCTGCTTAATTAAAAAAAAAAAAAAAATCACATGGCTCTTGTGATACCTCTGTCCATGATAAGAAATGGTGTTTGCATCCCTGCTCTCTGGTTTTCTCCAACCTCTGTGTTTAGGAGCCACCAGCCAGGTTTTGATGCCTTCATTTCAAGAGTTTTAAATGAACCTAAAACAAAAAGTTAAGAAAAACATTACATATGCAAAAATTAACAAGATAATATTGAGGTCAATAGTTATCTAAGAATCCTAAATTTCCTGCTTCACAAGAGACTTTCAATTAGAATTTAACCATTTTTCTTTAGGTAGGACTACAATTATAACAGATAGAAACAAAACAATAACACACAGAGGTAACAAAAAAGATTTTAATCTCTTCCACACCTCACTAGAATAAACTTTCACTTATCTAAATATAATGTTACAAGTTAACTCACATACAATACCGCTTCACAGTCCTAAGTATCAACGTGACCTTGAGTGATATCATTGGGCCTCAAAATTATCTTACTTTTCATTTCCCTCTCTTCATTTTGCTTTTTTATCTTTTTATATAAGAAAATCAAAATAAAACCTCTATGTTTTCAAATTTTCCATAAAACTTACATATTTGAATAGAGAGTTATATAAATTGTTCACAGAAAAAAAACACTGAAAGAATGAGATTTCTAAAACCTCTGGCTATCCATTCTGGTATTTAATATTACCCCCGGCAGTTAATATTTACATTCTGTTGTCTGTAATTTATGACTGTTTCCCAGATTGTGGGTGAAAATGAATAGATATGGTTATCTTCCTCAAACATAATGAAAAAGATCTCCAGTTTTCCTCTCTCCAGTACAGGTATTCAGGTTTGCAGATTTAGAGTTGCCAGTCAATCCTAGCTTCTCAGTCTGTCTGCAGGCTCATGGGAAGGATGACTGACTGATCTGCTAATACTTGGTGAAAAGATGAATGAATTTGACTGAATCTCCTCTGTCTCTGATATTAATACAGCAGGTCTCTCTAGATGTATTAGTGAGTTACTGGTGTGTGAAAAACCAGCAAGAATCCTCTTTTTTTCCCTGCTCTTAACCAAACCAGTCCATGTGGACTTCTGTGCCTGCATCTGAGGCAGATTCACACAACTTCCTCACCCAAAGTGCCGTTGAGGGACTGCCTTCACCAGATCCTCAGGCAGCATGTGTTAGGTTGGTGCAAATTGTAATTGCAGTTTTTGCCATTAGTTTTAATAGAAGGCAAAATAGACCTTTGTTCATTTTATTTTAAAAATAAATAATTATTTGAAAAAAAATTTTCCTCTTTACGTAGCCTATATATAAGTCAGTTTCAAAATATGATTCCTGGAGTCACTTGCCCAAAGATATTAGAGTGACAGAGCCTAGTGGAGGAGCAGAACTGAAGAATCTGGAAACCTTACCAGCAGAGATAACTATAGCTGCCTGAGCCCTGTGGGATTCATTTTTTCATCTGCTTGAGACCTTCTCTGTATAACATACAGTGGCTTGGGAGAACCTGCATATTATATAGCATCTCTGTAGAACCAAGTTGGGTCACACAATTAGCCTGTGTGGTGCTGCAAATAGTTCATAAATTAGGTGACATTTTTTGTATTCCATATACACTTTGGGCCTATGGCTTTGCCTAGGCTCTGCCAGAACCACTGTGTTCTGACCCATTAGGAAGTATATGCACAAGGAGGAAATGAGGGGTAATGATTGCCTTTTCCCTGTATTTCTTAGCAGGGACCTCTTTCCATTACCCAGTCATTACCGGGCAGAAGGGGCCAGACCCCTAACTGGTGCTGTTTATTGCCATTTTCCAGCAAGGTCTGGCCATGAAAGTGAACCACGTGAATGTCTTGAGAGCCGCCTATGTTCAGCAGGTGTAACCTCACCCACTCTTGCTCATACATTCTCAGACCAGGCAAGCTGTAGATCCTCCCATTAATGGCTGAAAGGACAAAGAGTTGCAATCAATTAGAAATCTGCTGACACTGAGAGGGCAACTGGCAAGGAAATGTGAGGCACCTATCTTCCTCATGATTCTGCATTCCCACGCCTACCCAGCCATGGAAAGGGCCCTCCTGTATGTCACATCAGTGAGAGGCTGAAGCAGACCTACCGGTCTTCATGTCATTTACACCAGCCTACAGCAGAAGTGGGGGGGAGCTCCCTTTCCAAGCAGTTTATTACTCTTTTCCCAAGCTTTTACACTCTCTGCTTTACCCATTTACCCTTTCCATTAACAGTCTTAATTTTCCTTAACTACAAAAAGATAAACATGAATATGGGCAGACAAAGTAAACCCTGGGGTTAGAGTCAGGAGATATGCAGCATGTCACCTTAAAGCCTTCTAAATGCAGAGAAAGTTTCAGTTTATAAAATTAGGAGTTTATCATTGGGGTACCCAGCAACCACAGCAAGTCATGTTTATTCTCTCATTGGTATGATAACTCCTCTGCCCACTTCTCAGATTAGAGGTTTAGGGTTCTCAGGCTTTATCTACTCTTCCTACTGTAGTAAAATATGTGGATTTTTTTTAATTCCTGAGAAACCTGATCACCTCAAAAATGTAACACAAAATTTTAAAGATATAGTACAACTAAACATTAACTGGAACCGAAGTAAGGGAAGTGCTTTGTTTCCTTCTTCTTAAATTAAAGGAACTGCTATGAAATTTCAGAAACCAGGCAAATGATTTTTTGGAGAGGGAGAGGTTGAGGTCATTTGGGCACCCTTAAAATTATATCAGGTATGAGAACACCTGTCTACATACTCATAACACAAGCTCATACCCTTCTCATCTCAGTTTCTCTTTCAGTTGCTAGCTTACAGGGCAAATTTCTGAGTGAATTTCCAAGTAGGCACACTTTTCCCAAATGCTCTCTTGCCACTATTCTCCTATTATTTGGGTACCTAGTTTCCTGTCTCACCTGGTAGCTGCTGAGAGCTAAAACTATCAGAACCATCCTTGGTCTTTTCTTTTATATAAACACTTGTGCCTTTAGAGATCCGGAAACAAGCTTATTAACTTTCTAAATTGCAGAGCAATGTTGATTCCTTTTCAATATATGTTACCAACGAAGCACGCTGGCTTTTTGTTGTTGTTTTCTGCTGCTGTTTTGCAGCAGCTTCTCTGCACTATCTTTCAGACTTTCTCTTTGCCTCACCCCCACTGTCACCTGCCAGATTATGTCAGCCCTCTGGGATGTGAAGGAACCAGTTTTAGCTGTAGCACCGGCTATCTCAGAAGCATCTCATGTCTAATCTTGTGAAGATCTAAGGGCAGGAATCACTGTGACCAGTGTAATTTCATTAGTCAGAGGAAAATACCAGGAAACTCATGGGAGTTTTTCACTTCTGTGGCTGTGAGTCTCCAAGACATTCTGGACTTCTTTTCATAGTACCAGCTCTTCTTTTCATCAAAGATCATAAATAGTAAGACAAATTCTCTCATGTCCACAGGCATGTTGCTCTCCTTATGAAGTATTCCTTTTTGGCAGATTAGGAGGGGACCTATCAAGCCCGAGTGAATATCTTTTTCCTAGAAAACAGAGTAAATTGTTTGTATTGCCCCTTTCTCAGGAATTTCTTTGCTTTTCACTGATCATATAGAAACGGACAGTTCCTGATAGGCTCTAAATTTGAAGCTGAAGATTATAAATGTATGGCTTAATAAGCCTGGATATTTATAACCTAATTCTGTTGTATCCATAATCCTCCTTCCTCTGATAGATCCTTATTTTAGTAATAATGATGATAATAATAATATTGATAATACGAGGGGTACTATTTATTGGGAATCTACTATTATGTTAAATGATTTGCCTGCAATCTCTCAATGAATCCTGACAATTATCTTATATAGTAAATATAAATTCATTCATTGAACAGATACTTACCAAGTGCTTACCATATATTATAAACTGTTACCTCATTTTTAACTTCTGATATCAGGCTAAGACAGGTCAAGGAATTTCCTAGGATTACGCATTAAGTGAAAGGGTAAAAATTTAAATCTGAGTCTGTGTTCTTTCCACTATGCCTGAAATGAAGGAGTCGTTTTCTTTCTAATGCATGTATATACTGTGTACAACATATTGTTTGAAGTGTATATACACTGCAGATGATCAATGAAGGAGTCTTGACATTGCATTTCTTTTCATAAAGAAAAAGCAGAAGATAGCTAACACTTGTTCAAGAAAATTTCAAAGGGATGCCATCTTCTGTAAATGTAGGCACTCTGATTCATGGCCAGTCATTCAAGTAATCCTCCCTCCTCTCCACTGAATAAATGTTTCTTTCTCTGTCATCGAAGAGCTACATGGACAGTTCCTGGTTATGATAAATGTAGACTGTTAACCATACCCTTATATATTCCTCATGAAAAGCAAGACAGATTTTTAGCAAGAAGTAACCCTGACTCTTCTATTTGGTGGACTCAGATTACGACATTAGGGGAATGAGAAAAACTTTCAATGAAAGTACCTACTGGGTTCACGGCTGAGTAGTAGGTCCAAGCCCGACAGGCAGAGCCAGGACTTCCTGGCCCCGATCGCTCAGTGGCATGCCATACGTAGGTATAACTGCTGTTTGGCTGAACAGCATTATCGTCCTGAAACCATGCAGGAGAGTCATCTTCATAAGTCTTTCCCTCTGATGATTTTTCGTAGGAAAGTCCATGGGCATGTAGAGAATATGGTCTGGATGCTAAATTTTTAAAACGAACCTAGAAAAAGGAATGACCTACAAGTATACTTAAGCATAACAAAAATCTAAACTAAAACATTTCAGCATTATAGCTCACAGTGGCTGGTTATAAAGCCAGAGCTAAGACATAAGGTACAAAATAACTTATGTATATTATTTCATTTAATTTTCCCAACCATCCTGTGAGATATGGCCCAAGTAGTTTTCTCCAGAAATACCAAAACACGTTTGTTCTTAGGCTCAAGGCTAAAGTATTGACATTATCTATTAATGAAATGAGAGCAATAGGTAGTGGAGATGTTAAGATAAATGAAGCTTGATCTTGTTCATAAGAAGCTTTTAAGCTACTGGTAAAGAGAGGCATGCACATGGGCATTCACACTACAAATCTAGAGGCAACAGGTGCTATTTACAAAGTCTAAATGGGTTCAAATGACAATGCGCTGGAGGAACAATTTGGTTGAATATTTAGGAGAGATTGGAACAATTATGGTAAGTTTCTTAGAGGAAATGGAATTGGCCAGCATAGAATGAACAGTTCAGCAGCAGGAGAAAGACATTCCTGACTCCCAGAAGGGCAGAAGGATACCTATGAGCAGGGGAGTAAAGGAAGAGTTCAGGGAATAGTAAGGATCTGGGTGGGGCTGGGCTATAAAATGCACAGGGAAGGTGGAACCTGGTGAGAAATGAGGCTGGAAAAGGACTAGGTTAGGGCCAGACGGTAAAGGACTTAAATGCCATATGAGAAGTCTTCACACCCCAGCAGTCAGACCTGTGAAGCTCCTCCCAGACCTTCTATAACTTTTTTTTTTTTTTGAGACAGAGTCTTGCCCTATCATCCAGGCTGGAGTGCAATGGAGTGATCTCGGCTCACTGCAATCTCTGCCTCCCGGGTTCAAGCAATTCTCCTTCCTCAGCCTCCCAAGTAGCTGGGATTATAAGCATGTGCCACCATGCCCGGCTAATTTTTGTATCTTTATTAGAGACAGGGTTTCACCATGTTGGCTAGGCTAGTCTCAAACTCCTGACCTTGTGATCTGCCCACCTTGGCCTCCCAAAGTGCCTGAGATTACAGGCTTGAGCCACTGTGCCCAGCCCCCCTTCTATAACTTCTAGTGATTAAAGACCCCATAATTGTCTTTTTCTTATTTTATTCTACAAAGCCAGCATCACCCTAATAACAAAACCTGGCAAGGGCACAGTGAATAATGAAAACTACTGGCCAATGTCTCTGAGATACATAGACACAAAAATCTTCAACAAAATACTGGAAAACCAAATCCAGCAGCACATTTAAAGTTAATTAATCACAATCACGTAGGCTTCATTCCTAAGATGCAAACTGGCTCAGCATATGCAAATCAATAAATGTTATTCACCAAATAAACTGAATTAAAAGCAAAAGCCATATTATCTCAATAGACATGGAAAAAGCTTTTGATAAAATCTAACATTTCTTCATGATAAAAAACCTTCAACAAACTAAGCATTGAAGTAACATACTTCAAAAATAGTAAGAACCATCTATGACAAATCCACAGCTAACATCACACTGAATGAGCAAAAGCTGGAAGCCTTCCCTGTGATAACTGGAACAAGACATGGATGCCCACTCTCATCACTCCTATTCAACATAGTACTGGAAATTCTAGTAACAGCAATCAAGCAAGAAAACAAAATAAAAGGCATCCAAATAAGAAAAGAATTTAAACTATCTCTCTTCATTGGCAATATGATTCTATACCTAACCCTAAAGACTCCATGGAAAGGCTCCAGGAACTGATAAATGACTTCAGTAAAGTTTCAGGATGCAAGATCAATGTACAAAATCAATTATACAAAATACAATGTACAAATGTATAAAATAGCATTTCTATACATCAGTAATTTTCAAACTGAGAGCAAAATCAAGAATGCAATCCCATTAACAATACACACACCCACACCCACACCCACACACACACACAAAATGCCTAGGAATACATCTAACCAAAGAGGTGAAAGATCTCTATAAGGGGAATTACAAAACACTGATGAAAGAAATCATAGATGACACAAACAAATGGAAAAACATTCTGTGCTCATATATTGGAAGAATCAGAATTGTTAAAATAGCCATTGTGCCCAAAGCAATCTACAGATTCAATACTATTTTTAATGAGCTACTGATATCATTTTCCTCAGAATTAGAAAAAAACTATTCTGAAATTCATATGGAACCAAAAAAGAGCCTGAATAGCCAAAGCAATCCTAAGCCAAAAGAACAAATCTGGAGGTATCACATTACCTGACTTGAAACTATAGTATAATACAGTACCAAATCAGCATGCTGCTGGTACAAAAACAGACACATAGACCAATGGAACAGAAAAGAGAACCCAGAAATAAAGCCACATACTTACAATCACCAGAACTTTGACAAAGTCACAAACGCAATGGGGAAAGAACTTCTGTTTAATAAATGGTGCTGGAATAACTGGCTACCCATATGTGGAAGAATGAAAGTGGACCCCTACCTTTTATCATATACAAAAATTAACTCAAGATGGATTAAAGATTTACTATAAGACCTCAAACTATAAGAATCCTAGAAGAAAACCTAGCAAACATCATTCTGGATATCAGCCTTGGGAAAGAATTTATGACTAATACCTCAAAAGCATTTCAACAACAGCAAAAATTGACAAGTTAAAGAGCTTTTGCTGAGGAAAAAAAGAGATCTACAGAGTGAACAGACACAGAATAGGAAAAAATATTCACAAAGTATGTATCTGACAAAGGTCTAATATCCAGAATCTATAAGATAAACAATTGAATAATCAAAAAACAAATAACCCCATTAAAAAGTGGACAAAAGACATGAACAGACACTTCTCAAAATAAGACATACAGATAGCCAACAAACATGAAAAAAAATGCTCAGCATCACTAATCATCAGAGAAATGCAAATCAATACCACAATGAAATACCATCTCACGCTAGTCAGAATGGCTATTAGTAAAAAGTCAAAAAATAGATGCTGGTGAGGGTGTGCAGAAAAGGGAATGCTTATATACCATTGCTTAGAATGTAAATTAGCCCCTGTGGAAAGAAGTTTCCCAAAGAATTTAAACGGATCTACTATTTGACCTAGCAATTCTATTACTGGGTATACAGCCAAAAGAAAATAAATTGTTCAGCCCAGCAAGGTGACTCATGCCTGTAATCCTAGCACTTTGGGAGGCTGAGGCAGGTGGATCGACTGAGGTCGGGAGTTTGAGACCAGCCTGGCCAACGTGGTAAAACCCTGTCTCTACTAAAAATACAAAAATTAGTTCGGCATGGTGGTGGGCACCTGTAATCCCAGCTACTTGCGAGGCTGAAGCAGGAGAATCACTGGAACCTGGGAGGCAGAGGTTGCAGTAAGTCTAGATCACACCTTTGCACTCCAGCCTGGGTGACAAAGTGAGACTCCATCTCAAAAAAATAAAAAGGAATACATTATTCTACCAAAAAACACATGTACCAGGATGTTCATCACAGTATTAGTCACAGTAGCAAAGACATGGAATCAACCTAGGTGCCCATCAGTGGTGGATTGGATAAAGAACATATGGTACATATGCATCATGGAATACTATGCAGCCATGGAAAAGATTGAAATCATATCCTTTGCAACAACATGGATGTATCTAGAAGCTATTATGCTAAGTGAATTAATGCAGAAACGGATAACCAAATACCGTATGTTCTTGATTATAAATAGGAGCTAAACATTAGGTATTCACAGACAAAAAGATGGCAACAATAAACACTGGGGACTGCTGGGGGTGAGGGAGATGGACAAGGGCTGAAACACTATTGGGTACTGTACACACTACTTGGATCGTGGGATCAATCATACGCTAAACAACATCACAGGATATACCCAGATAACAAACCTGCACATGTCCTCTGAATCTAAAATAAAAATTACAATTATTTTTAAAATACAGTTATTTGTATCTAGTCAAATCCTGGACTAAAACAAAGATTCCATATTTGATTTTTTCCTTTTGCCTAAGGCTCCAATATGACTCAATGCAACATTGTTATTGATCCTGTCTTTATTCACAATTGTGATGTTTTGTTTATTATGGCTTTCTTACATTAATTTTCATTTTAAAATTTAAAAAAAAATTTCCGTTGCTTTAGGGATACAAGTAGTTTTTGGTTACATGGATGAATTGTATAGTGGTAAAGTCTAGGATTTTAGTGAACCTGTCACATGAGTACTGCAGCTTGTATCCAATAGGTAGCTTTTCATCCATTCCCCCTGTTCTCTTTTGGGTATCCAATGTCCATTATACCAATCTGTCTGCCTTTGCATACCCATAGTTTAGCTCCCATTTATAAGTGAGCACATGCAGTATCTGGTTTTTGATTCCTGAGTTACTTCAACTTAGAAAAAGATTTTTTTTTTTTGAGACGGAGTTTTGCTCTTGTTACCCAGGCTGGAGTGCAATGGTGCTATCTCGGCTCACCGCAACCTCCACCTCCTGGATTCAGGCAATTCTCTTGCCTCATCCTCCTGAGTAGCTGGGATTACAGGCACGTGCCACCATGCCCAGCTAATTTTTTGTATTTTTAGGAGAGATGGGGTTTCACCATGTTGATCAGGATGGTCTTGATCTCTTGACCTCGTGATCCACCTGCCTCGGTCTCCCAAAGTGCTGGGATTACAGGCATGAGCCACTGCGCCCGGCCCTTAGAAAAAGATTTTTAAATCTGTTGTTAAATTAGTGTTTGTCTTGAAAAAAGACCCCCTAATCATAAGAGAGAATATTGCCTCCCATAGCTTCATGGACAATTTAGCATAGTAAGATTCTTATATTCCTATGTACTTACATTTTAAAAAAGAAAAAATGGTCACTGAAAATTTTGTGAATGCTTACACAGACATAGTAGATCATATGCTTGAATATAGATTAGCTTACTTTAGAATCAGAGGTCTTTCTGGGTTTTTGAACATGAAAGGCTAGAAAAAATGGTGGAAGTATGGAACAGAACAGAGGCCTCAGAAATAACACCACACATCTACAACCATCTGACCTTTGACAAACCTGACAAAAACAAGCAATGGGAAAAGGATTTCCTATTGAATAAATGCTTTTGGGAAAACTGGGTAGCCATATGCAGAAAACTGAAACTGGACCCCTTCCTTATACCTTATACAAAAAATTAACTCAAGATGGATTAAAGACTTAAACATAAGACATAAAACCATAAAAACCCTAGAAGAAAACCTAGGCAAAACCATTCAGACATAGGCATGGGCAAAGACTTCATGACTAAAACACCAAAAGCAGTGACAACAAAAGCCAAAAGTGACCAATGGGATCTAATTACACTAAAGAAGTTCTGCACAGCAAAAGAAACTATCATCAGAGTGAACAGGCAACCTATAATATGGAGGAAAAATGCAATCTATCCATCTGACAAAGGGCTAATATCCATAATCTACAAAGAACTTAAATTTACAAGAAAAAAAAACCCATAAAAAAGTGGGCGAAGGGGTGAACAGACACTTCTCAAAAGAAGACATTTATGCGGCCAACAAACATATAAAAAGAAGCTCATCATCACTGGTCATTAGAGAAATGCAAATCAAAACCACAATGAGATACCATCTCATGCCAGTTAAAGTGGGGAATCATTAAAAGAAATAGCAGATGCTGGAGAGAATGTGGAGAAATAGAAACATTTTACACTGTTGGTGGGATTATAAATTAGTTCAACCATTGTAGAAGACAGTGTGGCAATTCCTTAAGGATATAGAACTAGAAATACCATTTGGCCCAACAATCCCATTACTGGGTATATACCCAAAGGATTATAAATCATTCTACTATAAAGACACATGTACACATATGCTTATTGCAACACTGTTCCCAATAGCAAAGACTTGCAACCAACCCAAATGCCCATTGATGATAGACTGGATAAAGAAAATGTGGCACATATACACCATGGAATACTATGCAGCCATAAAAAAGAATGAGTTCATGTCCTTTGCAGCAACATGGAGGAAGCTGGAAACCATTAATCTCAAGCAAACTAACACAGGAACAGAAAACCAAAAACCACATGTTCTCAATCATAAGTGAGGGTTGAACAATAAGAACACATGAACACAGGGAGGGGAACATCACATACTGAGGCCTGCTGGGGAGTCGGGAGCTGTGGGAGGAATAGCATTAGGAGAAATACCTAATGTAGATGACGGGTTGATGAGTGCAGCAAACCACCATGGCGCTTGTGTACCTATGTAACAAACCTGCACGTTCTGCACATGTATCCCAGAACTTAAAGTATAATTTAATAATAAGGAAAATAAAAGAAAAAATGGGGTAAGTAAACTTCCTTACAACAGTAAGCTATAATCCTAGATCCAGACGAAAGATTTTGAAAGAAATGACTAGGACTAGGAAGACACTTGAAGAAACTTGCTCACTTTTGTAGGGCATGGAGACATCTTTACTTTCCTTACTCATTTTATTTTACTTCACTTTATATTTTCAAGAAAACACCAGAAGATATTTCTAAATTACTAGTACTGTTAGCACTACTACTGTCCCCACCACCACCACCACTACCGTGGAACCCCATTCAATTGCTTTTGAATATATTAATTTTCTGTGTTAACTTTAGATAGGTTAGCTTTGGATAGCAATTACAGAGAGATTTTCCACAATTACATAGTTTTCAGCATTTTTTTTAAATATGAAAATTTTTTTTAGTCTCGAAGATTGCCAAATTGCTTGGTGAACAGTCTATGAAAAGAAATGTAATGATTCATTAATTCTGGAAAATAAACAAACCGCCGATAGCTCTCTTGCCACCTACATGTCTACAACGCTCTGGTGCCTGTGGAAATTCCTCTGATGATCTTAGCAGGGCTCCAGAGACTTACTTGGATAACATCATCCACTTCAGCTCTGATAACAGGACCAAGAATTCCAAGATGCTCTTCGTACTCCCCTTGAGGATCACGTTTGGTAAAACTGCTGTCGAGGTACTTTCGAAAAACTACTTTCTTATATATGGTATTTTCTGGGGTATTGTCCATGTCTTCAATATCTCTTTCACTGCAACGACAATAGTATTTGTGTAAAAAAAAGAAATTAAAGACTGTTCAAAGAATTTAGGAAATTGTCTCTTTTTCTAGATATAGCATCTAGCATAGCGAAGGTCTTGACTGAATACCTGGTGGACAGATGAGTAAATATATAAGTGGCTAAAAGCAAAAGTCAGTAAATACCTTTCAACTCCTAACTCAAATATTTTATAGGGAAGTCTTCCTATGCCCTTTTAGTCTATGTCAAGTCTTTCTATATCAATTCCTTATTTATTATATTACATATAGTAAATTCCTGTAGTATTCTTATAATAGTTTTATAGTATATATAGTAGGTTGTATATATTTGTGAGATTATCTATTAATATCTGACTCTCACTCAGTGTAAGTACCATGAGGTCAGCCATTATGCCTGGTTTGCTCATAATACTTTCTCCAGTGCTAAGCACATTATCTGGCACACAGTAGAAACTTAATAAATTTTTGTCAAACATATAAATGAATGCACAAATATAATCATGTTGTCAACACAGCAAATTTTAACATCAAAGGCAGATAAAGCCATATAAATGGGACAATGCCAGAGCTTGGGGCTATCACGTGAGAATGGTCAGATTAATACAAAGGTCGCACTTGTGAAAGTCACTGGATGGATGAATGTTTTATATCCTGAAAGTAGCTACTCTTCTCACTTTTTTTTTTTTTTTTTGCTAATGTACATTATTCTCAAGCTTCTTGACATTGGTGTGAACAAAGATTGTTTGGATATGACTTCGAAAGCACAGGCAACAAAAGCAGAAATAGACAAATGGGATTGCATCAAACTCAAAAATTTACGAGGAAAGGAAATAACAGAGTAAAGAGACAACCTATGGAATGAGAGAATATTCTTGAAAACCAGATATCTGATAAGGAATTAATATTAAAAGTATAAGGAACTCAATTCAGCAAAAAAATAAAATAAAAAAGCCTGATTTAAACAATGAACAAAGGTCTTGAATAGACATTTCATAAAAGAAGACCTACAAATGACCAACAAATATATGAAAAGATGCAGAGAAATGCAATTTAAAATCACAATGAGGGCTCACCTCACACCGTTAGGATGGCTATTGTAAAAATGATAAGAGATAAATGTTGGCAAGGATGTAAAGAAAAGGGAACTCTTGTACACTCTTGGTGAGAATGTAAATTAGTACAGCCATTATGGAAAACAGTATGGGAGGTTCCTTTAAAAATTAAAAATAGAATTACCATGTGATCCATCAATCCCACTTTTGGGTATATACCCAAAGAAAATGAAATCAGTATGTCGAAGAGATATCTGCTTTCTCATGTTCACTGCAGCATTAGCAACATTAGCCAAGATATGGAAGCAACCTAAATGTCTATCAACAAATGAATGGATTTCTTTTTTTTTTTTTTTTTTTTTGAGACAGAGTCTCACTCTGTCACCAGGCGCCAGACTAGAGTGCAATGGCACAATCTTGGCTCACTGCAACCTCCGTGTCCCGGGTTCAAGCAATTCTCCTGCCTCAGCCTCCCAAATAGCTGGGACTACAGGCTTATGCCACCACACCCAGCTAATTTTTGTATTTTTAGTAGAGACGGGGTTTCACCATGTTGGCCAGGATGGTCTCAATCTCTTGACCTCGTGATCCGCCCACCTCAGCCTCCCAAAGTGCTGGGATTACAGGCTTGAGTCACCGCGCCCAGCCATGAATGGATTTCTTAAATGTGATCTACATAAACAATGAAATACTATTTAGCATTTAAAAAAAGAAAAAGAAATGTGATTTGCGACAACATGGCTGAACCAGGAGGTTATTATGCTAACATAAAATAAGCCAGGCACAGAAAGACAAGTACTGCAGGATCTCTCTTATATGTGGAATTAAAAGCATTGAGGTCATGGAAGCAGAAGGTAGAACAGTGGCTAACAGAGGGATGCAGAAGTGAAACGTTGAGAAAATGATCAGAAGATAAAAATCAGTTAGAGGAAATACGTTTAGAAGGTCTCTTGTATAACATGGTGACTATAATTAATAACATGCTATATTTTTGAACATTGCTGAGAGTACATTGTTCTAACCACAGAAAGTATCTGAGATAATACATAAGTTAATTAGCTTGATTTAGCCAATTCACAATTTATAAATATATTAAAACATCATGTTTACATCATAAATATATATAAAACCATAACCCCCCAAAAAACCTGTGGTACACTCATATAATGGAATACTAAGCAATAAAATGAGTGAGCTATTGATACATGCAATAACCTGGATGAATCTCCAGAGAATTATATTGAGTGAAAAAATACCAGTTTCCAGTTGCCTGATTCCATTTATGTAATATTCTTAAAATGACAAAATTATAGAAATGGAGATCAGACTACTGGTTGCCAGGGAATAAGGAAGGAATACGGTGTTAGGAAGGTAGATGTGAGTGTAAAAGGGTAATGAGAGGGATTTGTGTGTGTGTGTGTGTCTGTGTGTGTGTGTCTGTGTGTGTCTGTGTGTCTGTGTGTGTGTGTGTCTGTGTGTGTGTGTGTCTGTGTGTGTGTGTGTCTGTGTGTGTGTGTGTGTCTGTGTGTGTGTGTGTCTGTGTGTCTGTGTGTGTGTGTGTCTGTGTGTGTGTGTCTGTGTGTGTGTGTGTCTGTGTGTGTGTGTCTGTGTGTGTGTGTCTGTGTGTCTGTGTGTGTGTCTGTGTGTGTGTGTGTCTGTGTGTGTGTGTGTCTGTGTGTCTGTGTGTGTGTCTGTGTGTGTGTGTGTCTGTGTGTCTGTGTGTGTGTCTGTGTGTGTGTGTCTGTGTGTGTGTGTGTCTGTGTGTCTGTGTGTGTGTGTGTGTCTGTGTGTCTGTGTGTCTGTGTGTGTGTGTGTGTGTCTGTGTGTGTGTGTGTGTCTGTGTGTCTGTGTGTGTGTGTGTCTGTGTGTGTGTGTCTGTGTGTGTGTGTCTGTGTGTGTGTGTCTGTGTGTGTGTGTGTCTGTGTGTCTGTGTGTGTGTCTGTGTGTGTGTGTGTCTGTGTGTCTGTGTGTGTGTGTCTGTGTGTGTGTGTCTGTGTGTCTGTGTGTGTGTGTGTCTGTGTGTGTGTGTGTCTGTGTGTGTGTGTGTGTGTCTGTGTGTCTGTGTTGTGTGTGTGTCTGTCTGTGTGTGTGTCTGTGTGTGTGTGTGTGTGTGTGTGTCTGTGTGTCTGTGTTGTGTGTGTCTGTGTGTGTGTGTGTCTGTGTGTGTGTGTCTGTGTGTGTGTGTGTCTGTGTGTGTGTGTGTCTGTGTGTGTCTGTGTGTGTGTGTGTGTGTGTGTGTGTGACAGGGTTTCACTCTTGTTGCCCAGGCTGGAGTCCAGTGGCATGATCTTGGCTCACTGCAACCTCTGCCTCCCAGGTTCAAGTGATTCTCCTGCCTCAGCCTCCCAAGTATCTGGGATTACAGGCATGCGCCACCACGCCTGGCTAATTTTATATTTTTAGTAGAGACGGGGTATCTCCATGTTGGTCAGGCTGGTCTTGAACTCCCGACCTCAGGTGATCTGCCCTCCTAATGGTGATGGAAACGTTCTGTATCTTGACAGTATCAATGTCAGTGTGCCCGTTGTGATATAGTATTATAGATTTGCAAAATGTTACCCCTGGGAGAGACTGGATGAGGAATACTCAGGATACTCAAAGGATCTCTCTGTATTATTTCTCTCAACTATATGTGAATCTATTTTTAAATTCCAAAATAAAAAGTATAATTAAAAATTATAAATAAATAAAACTATTATTCCCATCTAGCTCATTGGCTCAGTCTAGGGCCAAAGCCTGTCAAATTCTCCCACTGACTCACATTTCTGAAGCCTGTGGAAACAAGCCAAACACTCATCCATCAAACCCGTAATATTTGCTATATACCATGAGCCATCAACAGAGAATCTCAATCTGCCTTTCTTCTGGTCTACCTCCACTACTAATCCCATCTTTCCAGACTCTGAGCATAACATGCAAATTCACAGAACACAAGGGAGTGGGTAAAGCAACTTTGACTGCCATAGAAATGTGTTGTGAGCCTCCAATGGAATACAAGATTTTGACCATGGTTCCATCCCTATTCACTCTGGACAGGCCCTACATCCTACTGCCTTGGGGCCTTGCTTAGAAATACTCAGATAACTAGTTGTTCTCATATGGTATTGAGTGCAACATTTAAATAGGAATTCATAGGAAAACGTGTTTTAAATGGAGTTCTAATGTGGAGATGTCAGGCATCAGATGAATGAACTCATTTGCATAAGTCACACCATACATTGTGTTTGCCTACTGTAATTACACTTCAGTTTTTTAATTCATTAGTGTAACAGCTTTTGTAAAAGCTATGGGCTATGTCTAGACAGTCGAAGTGCAGTCATCATGCTATATCCCTGAGAATTGTAGTTAACTAAGCCTTGCTCCTTTCCTCCTCTCTCTTTTTTCTTTCTGTATCTTCATCCCAGAACAAAGAGCCCAGCTCATCATGGCTTTCTACCTCTAAGCAAAACTGAATTGTAAATAATCTTTTTAAAAAAGTGATTTGGATCTCTTAGAAATTCTGATATAAATAAGTAAATGCAAAAAGGACATCATATTTGGGTTTGGATTTGAGGCTAACTTCAATGAACTCATAATAATTAGCATATAGCTATGGATAGGTTGGGCTCTGCCTGGAGCAAGAAGAGTCATGGGTAGTAAGAGGAGAGGACACAGAAGAAGGCTTAATTACAGAATATTATAAAGTTCTCACAGTGACTATTCTTATACTGTCCAGGGTCATATAAAGTAAAGAAGCAGTCTTGGAATTGACAAAGGAAATAGTACAGACCAACTTGCAATAGGGAAACCAAACTGTTCTTAGTATAATTTGCCCAGAATTCTCTCCCTGAATTGTTGTAGCTACTTTTTTCAACAGTAATGAAAAAATGAGAATAAAAAGGGAGAAAACTGGCCAAACCGTTGTACAAACTCTGAATAATCCCAGGATACTTCTTCTGCAGCAATGTAATAATTTCTTCTGTTTCCATTGTTGCTGCGGAGGTACCATGCGGCAATGTTGTCAGGATTTCTGGAGGCGTTGATGTTTGTCCTAACATCAGTTTTGTAGGGGTCATCATAGGACACATAATCTGTTTCAGTATAGTCATCTTCACTGCTCTGGACCTCTTCCCTTGGAATAATCTCAATGTAATCTGTACCATCTTTACTGAGGCCAACTATAACCAGTGGATTAAATTCCTTCAATCGAAATGTATCATTGAGAGTAGGAGATGAAGGAGATGGCGTGTGACCAAGGTCTGAATAAGGAAAAGTCTCATTAAATTCTGGAATAAGCAATGACTGACTAGATTCAGAAGGGTAGAATATCTGATTGAGGTCTGGAGGGGGTGATATCTGGCTGAGATCAGGGAGAAGGATGGTCTCACTGAGGTCTGGAGAGAGAGTCACCTGGGTGAGGTCTGGGGAAAGGGATATCTGACCAAAGTCTGGGGAAAGGTCTGTCTCACCAAGGTCTGGAGAAAGCATCATCTGGTCGAGGTCTGGGGAAAGGGGAATTTGACTGAGATCTACAAAGACGGGCATCTCACTGAGTTCTGGAGAGAGGTTTGTCTGGCTTAGGTCTGAAGAGAGATTCATGTGGCTGAGGTCTAGAGAGAGGTTTGTCTCACTGAGTTCTGAAGAGACAGTCGTGTGGCTGAGGTCTGGAGAGAGAGGGATCTGACCTAGTTCTGGGGAAAGATTTGTCTGATTGAGTTCTAGAGAGAGATTTGTCTGGCTGAGGTCTAGAGAAAGGGTTGTATGGCTGAGGTCTAGAGAAAGGGTTGTATAGCTGAGGTCTGGAGAAAGAGGCATCTGACCGAGGTCTGGGGAAAGGTTTGTCTGACTGAATTCTGGAGAGACAGTCATCTGACTGAGATCTGCAGAAAGAGGGATCTGACCCAATTCTGGGGAAAGGTTTGTCTGACTGAGTTCTGGAGAGAGGGTCACCTGGCTGAGGTCTGGAGAGAGGTTTGTTTGGCTGAGGTCTGGAGAGACAGTCGTCTTACTGATGTCTGGAGAAAGAGGGATCTGACCCAGTTCTGGGGAAAGATTTGTCTGACTGAGGTCTGGAGAGACAGTTGTCTGACTGAGATCTGCAGAAAGAGGGATCTGACCCAGTTCTGGGGAAAGGTTTGTCTGACTGAGGTCTGGAGAGACAGTCATCTGACTGAGATCTGCAGAAAGAGGGATCTGACCCAGTTCTGGGGAAAGGTTTGTCTGACTGAGGTCCGGAGAGACAGTCGTCTGACTGAGATCTGCAGAAAGAGGGATCTGACCCAGTTCTGGGGAAAGGTTTGTCTGACTGAGGTCTGGAGAGAGGTTTGTCTGGCTGAGGTCTACAGAAAGGGTTGTATAGCTGAGATCTGCAGAAAGAGGGATCTGACCCAGTTCTGGGGAAAGGTTTGTCTGACTGAGGTCTGGAGAGAGGGTCACCTGGCTGAGGTCTGGAGAGGTGATTGTCTGCCAGACTTCATGTTCTGAGGAAAGGGACGTTTGACTGATATCAGTGGGGAAGGACTTGTGATTTTGATCATAGTCAAGCATCTCACTGAGCTCTAGAGAAGAGGATCTGTGACTGGGGTCTGAAGTGGAGTTCATTTGATCAGGGTCTTGAATAGGGAATGCTTCATAGTGTTCCTCTGGGGGCACTGGCTCATAAAGATCTGGAGGAGAATTTGTCTGACCAGTGTCATTTGAGGAATTCTGATTATGGTCAGGAAGTGAGGGTATCCAGCCAAAATCCACAGAGGGCAATGTCTGATTGAGGTCTATGGGAAGAGATGTTTTATTGGAGTTATGGAGCAACAAGGAATGATTAAATATAATTTCTGAAAATGTGTTGTAGGCTTCACTTCCTAGAGAGTGAAAGGCCCTTGGAGATAAAGGAGTATGGTGTGTCTGCTTCTCTTTTCTCTTTTTTCGTGTCTTAATGAGAAGGTGGCTTTTCTTCAGTCCACTGTTTCCTCCATCCTGTCTTACTTGTAGAATTTTGTGTCTAACTCTAGGAAACTCTGGGTGGCCACTCGGCTTTCCAGGCTTGTTGGTAACAGGGGTGCTTTCTCCCCAGGCATGTGAGGCATTCTGAGGGCTGATCAGCTGATTGTTAACAGCTGTGTCTTCATCAGTATCTTGGATTACTTCATAGCCACCTTTCTCAGAAGCCAAATGCCATTTCCCAACCAGAATCTTAGATGGGTTCTTTTGTTTTAAGAGCAACAGATCACTAGGAAGGTCTTTCCGGGGCCTCATTCTGGAAGAAGAACTATTGTCTTGGCTTAGATGCCTCCCAATTTTATCTGCTGGTGATTTCATCCAGGAGAACATGTGCTTTGCTGCTTGGTCTCTTTTTACCTTGGGTTCCTTGTGTTTAGGATGTTCTTGACTTCTGAATTCTCCTGCACCAAGTGAAAGTAGATGTATCCCTGTGACATCTGACTGTAGAGGATCCTCTATAGGGTTTTCAGAATAAGGGCTGGAATGTTCTGCTGTGGAAGAATGGAAAACTGAGTTCTTGCCAATGAGGTGTCTCTGTGGGGAACCAGCTGCAGTGGCTTGTTGGTGAGAAGGGGTTTTCTGAGGTTCTGTAAGGTTATTGACAGCGAGCTTACTAATATTCGTTGGGGAAGAATAATTTGAACCGACAGTTATAGCTGTGTTCGGAGAAATAAATTCACTGCCATTCTCCAGAGCTAGGGCAGTAAGATTGAACTCTTCTTCTTTCTGATTCAGTGATGAATTTCTCAGTGACCTAATTCCTAATGCTGAAGCCAGTCTAGTCTGGTAATCATAGTCAGCATCACTCTCTTCATCTTCGTTTTCTGAAGGAGTGTGCATTTTCCGTGTAGCTGTGACCGAAGATTCTAGAGGTTCATAAATCTCATATGAGTCTTCATAATCATCTCGAATACATTTAACATCCCTGAATTTCAGCCTCAGCTTTTTGCTTCTTGGACTGGAATTCATGGTGGTTAATATCCAAGTTCCTACAGAAGAGAGACAGAGAGAAGAGAGATCTGGAAGTCTGGGAAAAGACATGCAAACGTAAGAATCCATTGTGGCAGGTCATTTCTAATAAACTTTAGTCGGGGACATTCAAGTATGGGCTGTGAACCACTGCTTGTCTGTGAACTATTGATTACTGGGTCACAATAACGTAAGGAGAGAAAATGAGAATGAAATATTTAAGAATTCTTTTTTTTTTTCTGAAGCAATTTGACATTGCTGTGACTCTAAGCACATGACTAGTGCGTTTATTTCATTTAACAGAATACAAACCAAAAGTATTAGTTAGTGGAGATTAGGGGGAAAAAAGGTCTTTCAGGACAGGTAGTATTGCACTGTTTTAGAATATATTAAGAAAGGGGTGAATCAAAAATAAAATGGACTTTTCATATCATAAATAACAGCACATCTTATTTTAGAAATAGAGTTAAGGGGATGATGATGAGGTCTATCCCCACAAATAAGAGACATTTAGATGTTTCTAAGTAGTAAGTAATTCAGGAGGGCAATTTTGAATCTTTGAAATGACATGCATTGCTGGCACACTAAAGATTTCTTGCGGTCAGGTGCGGTGGCTCATGTCTGTAATCCCAGCACTTTGGGAAGCCAAGGCAGGCAGATCATGAGGCAAGGATATAGAGACCATCCTGGCTAATATGGTGAAACCCCGTCTCTACTAAAAATACAAAAAATTAGTCTGTAGTGCCAGCTACTCAGGAGACTGAGGCAGGAGAATCGCTTGAACCTGGAAGGCGGAGGTTGTAGTGAGCTGAGATCGTGCCACTTCACTGCAACCTGGGTGACAGAGCAAGACTCCGTCTCAAAAAAAATTTCTTGGTGAGTCTCCAATAGTTACCATTGCTGGTATCTACTGAGTGCTAGGCACTTGACACATATTACTGTTTTAACGGTCAAAGTAACTGTGTGAGGTGTGATTTGTGGCTCAGCGAGGCCACATAACTTGTGTAAGGTTACACAGCAATTGAGTGGCAGACCAGGACTTGCACTCCAGTCGGACAAACTCCTAAGCTGGTGCTGAAGCAACCTCTAAGGCACTGTACCTGATGACTGAAGATGGCTGTCACAAGAAAACTGAAAAGGGCATTTTCATAAAAGAAATGCTCTTTTGTGGCCAAAATATTTATGCTTCTTCCTCAGAGTTATGCCTTATTTTTCTGCTGTTGTATGTCTTTACTTCCTACTTTGCCCCGAGAAGGAGAAATATAACCCACATTAAAGGACTGGATCCATTTAAGTCATTAATTTCTCAAAGAAAAATCGTGAGAAACACTGAAAGAAAAGCCTGCAGGGGATCAGGGAGATAAGCAGAGGAGCACTGGCAGCCTGGGGAGCTACAGCAGACCTTCCTAGACCAGAAATTCAGAACAAGCTGCCTCTCTGAACGTCAGGCTCTTACTCACCAACATTATCCATTGTGACCGTCACAGATTCTCCACGCATGGGGAAGAGGGTCAAGGTGTCCTCGTGTCTCTTTCCATAGATGAATGAGTGCCCAGTGAAGTGGATGGTCAAAATGTCATTCTGGGTCCCCACACTACAGAAGTGCCACTGGACAGTGTCATCAAAGCAGAATCCAAGAGTAGGTATGCTCTCAGGCACATAGCCATTGATAGCTGAAAAAGTAACATCTGTTAACATTCCAGGTCGATGCCAATGAAAGGGCATATGTCTAATGATACCTAACACAAATGTCTCTGTTAATATGGCTGCATCAAAACAGTGATTATACAAGATAACCTTTATCTGATCTAACATGTGACTAGATCAAACTCAGAATTCTCAAATGAGAGATTATTCTTCTACATTAGCCAAAAGAGAAATATCAAGAAAAAGATAAACCTTCCATTTATATTGATTTATTCATTCATTTGTCAAATGTATAGTAAATATGTTGTACTCTACTCTCTGCCTTTAAAGATATTCCAATAATTCTACTTGGAGGCCTAATATAAGAAATTCATGTTTTTGATAACATTAGTCATTGGATAAGAAGTAATGTCCCTAAAAGTAAACACCATTTAGCATATTTTTTAGTTTTTATTGCTCTGTCTTAGAATCTATATAGCATCCACAGTTTCAAGTATCCAGTTCATACATTTTCATTATTGTTAAAAGGGACACAGATGTAGGCAATATTTTTATTTACTTAGATACTAAGCACGGTAGTAAAAAATCAAAGGTTTGATTTCTATGAGGGCAGGGCTCATATCTACCCGGATTACCACTCTCAGCCTTATTACCAGTATAATGACTGACGTTAACAAATATTTAAATACCTACTTAAATCACTTAGGTCACTTGAACAACTTATGTGATATATTATTATTAGTTTGTACCTCATTCTAGATGTTTTTCTAAATCATCTATAACTGCATTGTTCAATATGGTAGACATTAGCTACAAGTGGCTATTGGTACCTGAAATGTGGGCAGACTGGACTGAGGTATGCTGTGAGTATAAAATATACATTGGATTTCAAACACTTACTAATAAAGTAAATATCATTAACTTTTATATTGATTATGTGTTGAAATGGTAATATTTAGGGTATATTAAGTAAAACATGTTACTAAAATTAATATCACCTATTTCTCTTTTTAATGTGGGTATCAGAAAATTTTAAATGACATATGTAGCTCATATGTAGTTTCTATTGGACAGCACTGGTCTAGAACGATGATCAATTTGCTGTCAAAAGGAAGTGATGCAAAGAAAGCTAAGAGTAATTTTCTGTTTGAATTTTTTGTCCTGGCACCTGTCAGCTCTGATAATCCATAGCTGTCAGTTGTCTGAAGCTGTATGAACAGATCATGGAGAAATTATCCTCACATGTATGATTACCTACGAGAGAAGGTGATTACCGTGACTGTAGACTCTGAGAGGGGACTCACTAGGAGGACCCTGGCTGTTGTAGAGAAGTTTGCTTCCAACTGGCTCAGTGACATTTCTCTCGGACTGCCATGGCAGTGCTTTTGGCTACTGAACTTTAGAACTGCAGCAAATGCCAGAATCCTCATTCAGAAAATTCCTTCTGTTCTGAACTTCTTACTGACCCCTTTAAACTTCTTGATGCATTGCCTTTCCAAGACTCTTAGGTCCCTGTACTCATTTTGCTCTACTTTGATGTGTGAATCCATCTTTGGATTATTTGCCTTGTTTCTGCCCTGGCCATATAGAATATTCACCCTGAATTCAGTCTAAAGTTCTTGGATGCTACTGACATGGACTGTAACATCTTCCATTATCCCCAGCCCCTCACCCTGTTCCTCACTGCCCAGAGTATGTCTGTGTGTGCACACATGCATACGTGAACACACACATGCGCACGTGCACACATACCCACACGCTTGGAACAGAAGACCAAGTCCATTTCTAAGGATAGAGAGCCTTTGACCTCTTGCTTAAAATTTTTGCTATGATGTCACCCATGGATTTCATCACCAAGTCTTTGGACTGGAAGTGAGGACAAGAGGTGCTCTTTAGCGAGTGGATTCTAATCCCTCTCTGACTCTAGGCACAGTCATATTTCAACCACAGGAGTGAAAAACTGATGAACAAAAATAGTACTCTGACTTACTGCTCATGACGTTTGATTCGTAAAACTTGGGGTCATCACGTTTCACCTCATCAGGATTTTCACAAAACTTGTTGATGTTGTCCTCAAGGTACCAGCTTTTGTTCTCATCAAATACAGCAAACACAGCCCTCTGTTCGATGTCTGCTGCCCTCTGGAGGACAAAACAGCATAGTACTGGTACAAGAACAGATGCATAGACCAATAGAACAGAGTGCTGAAGTCAGAAATAAGGCTGCTCACCTACAACTATCTGATCTTCCAGAAACCTGACAAAAACAAGTAATGGGGAAAGCCTTCCCTGTTTAATAAGTGATTCTGGGATAAGTGGCTAGCCATAGGCAGAACATTGAAACTGGACTCCTTCCTTACACGATATACAAAAATTAACTCAAGATGGATTAAAGACTTAAATGTAGGCCAGGCACAATGGCTCATGCCTGTAATCTCGGCACTTTGGGAGGCTGAGGCATATCCCAGCTACTTAGGAGGCAGGCTGGGGCGGGAGAATAGCTTGAACCCAGGAGGCGGAGGTTTCAGTGAGCTGAGATTGCACCACTGCACTCCAGCCTGGGTGACAACATAAGACCCCATCTCAAAAAAAAAAAAAGATGTAAATGTAAAACCCCAAACTATTAATCCCTGGAAGATAACCTAGACAATACCATTTGGGACATAGGCATGGGCAAAGCTTTCATGATGAAGACACTAAAAGTAATTGCAACAAAAGCAAAAATTGACAAATGAAATCTAATTAAACTAAAGAGCTTTCGCACAGCAAAAGGGACTATCAACAGAGTAAACAGACAACCTGAAGAATAGGAGAAAATTTTTACAAACTATGTATTGACAAAGGCCTAATATCCAGCATTTATAAAGGACTTAAATTTACAAGAAAAAAACAAACAGCCCCATTAAAAAGTAGGCAAAAGACATGAACAGATACTTTTCAAAAGAAGACATACATGTGGCCAAAGAGCATATGAAAAAAGCTCAGCATCACTGATCATTAGAGAATGCAAATCAAAACCACAATGAGATACCATCACATACTGGTAAGAGTGGCTATTACTAAAAAGCCAAAAACTAACAGATGCTGGCAAGGTTGTAGAGAAAAAGAAATGCTTCTACAATCTTGATGGGAGTGTAAATTAGTTCAACCACTGTGGAAGACTCCATGGTGAGTCCTCAAAGACCTAAAGTCAGAAATACCATTCAACCCAGCAATTTTATTACTGGGTATGTGCCCAAAGGAATATAAATCATTCTGTTATAAAGACACATGAATGCATATGTTCATTGCAGCACTCTTCACAATAGCAAAGACATGGAATCAACCCAAATGCCCATCAATGATAGACTGGATCAAGAAAATGTTGCACATATACACCATGGAATACTATGCAGCCATCAAAAAGAACATGATTGTGTCCTTTGCATGGACATGGATGGAGCTGGAGGCCATTATCATAAGTAAATTAACACAGGAACAGGAAAACACATACTGCACATTCTCACTTACAAGTGAGAGCTAAATGATGAGAACACACGGACACATATAAGGGAACAATACACACTGGGGCCTGTTGGAGGATGGAGGGTGGAAGAGGGAGAGGATCAGGAAAAATAACTAACAGATACTAGGCTCAATTCCTGGGTGATGAAATAATCAGTACAACAGACCTCCATGACATATGTTTACCAGTGTAAGAAACCCACACATCCTGCACATAGACCCCTGAACTTAAAAGTTAAAACATGCTGTATTCAGTCATTAGTGTTCTAGCAAATTACCTACATCACTGAGTTCTCAGAAACCAAAGCAACACAGTTCTTGGAACTACAGAAGCCATATATTTCAGGCATTTATGAGAGTCCATTTTGCACACATCACATGTTACAGCTGAAGGTAATATGCAAATGCAAACAGAACAGATCAGAAAATTCAGAGATTAAAATATCCCAAAAGAGCCAGGCATGGTGGCTCACGCCTGTAATACCAGCACTTTGGGAGGCTGAGGGGGGTGGATCACCTAAGGTCAGGAGTTTAAGATCAGCCTGGCCAACATGGTGAAACCCTGTCTGTACTAAAAAATACAAAAATTAGCCAGGCATGGTGGCTCACCTGTAATCCCAGAACTTTGGGAGGCCGAGGCGGGCAAATCATAAGGTCAAGAGATTGAGACCATCCTGACCAACATGGTGAAACCCCGTCTCTACTAAAGATACAAAAGTTAGCTGGGTGTGGTGGCACATGCCTGTAGTTCCGGCTATCTGGGAGGCTGAGGCAGGAGAATCACTTGAACTCGGAGGCAGAGGTTGCAGTGAGTAGAGATCACACCATTGCACTCCAGCCTGGTGACAGAGGGAGACTCCATCTCAAAAACAAAACAAAACAAAAATACCAAAATTAGACAGCCATGGTGGTGGGCACCTGTAATCTCAGCTACTAGCGAGGCTGAGGCAGGAGAATCACTTGAATCCAGTAGGCAGAAGTTGCAGTGAGCCAAGATGATGCCACTGTACTCCAGCCTGGGTGACAGAGCAAGACTCTGTCCCAAAAGAAAAAAAAACACCCGAAAGAAAAGTCTCATTTCAACATGGCAACTGAAAGTCTGTCTCTGTAATTGCACCTTTCAGCATGAACGATTAACTAAATATGATCTGAATAATTGTAAAGGATAGAACAGAAGGTTGCAATAGAAAAGTATGCTTCTCCTACCTGTTTCCTTTCCTAGCTCAATAAATCAGGATCTTCCATGTGTCCAGAAATTCATTTCTGATTTTTTCTAGACATATATTTATGTTATATGCCTCAAGATAAGACCTTTTTGGTTATAGTTTAGCATAATTGGGAATTTTAGTTTAATAATATGAGACTATAATTCTTCAATGGAAACTCAGAAATTCAGTATATTTGTTCACATTCTTCTGTATACTTTAGTCTCAACAGAGATGGATCATTATCTGGGTTCAATTTCACTAGGAACTATGTCTCTAAACGTGGTTGTTTTCAGAGAATCTCTCCTCTCTCTCCCTATTGCAGGTCTCTAAAAATAACAAAGACTGGTAAAGAGCTAGACACTTTTACCAGATAGTATCTCACTGAACCCACAAACAGACCTGTAGCATTTTTAGGAGGGGTATTGCCCATTTGACAAAAGGGAGAAATTAGGAAAGGCTAATCAGCTTGCTCATCACATCCAATACCAACAGACCTGGGATTTGAAACTAAGAAAAAATATGTTACCACATTCTAGACTTGCCTTCTGCTATGAGGGTCCTGATAAAAAAGAGACAAGATGAAAAACAAAGAATAAATGTTATCACACTGGTGCTAAAAAGGACTACTTGATATTTACTGGGTTTTTCTTTTCTTTTTTTTTTTTTTTTTTGAGACGGAATTTTGCTCTTGTTACCCAGGCTGGAGTGCAATGGTGAGATCTCGGTTCACCGCAACCTCCGCCTCCTGGGTTCAGGCAATTCTCCTGCCTCAGCCTCCTGAGTAGCTGGGATTACAGGCACTCGCCACTATGCCCAGCTAATTTTTTGTGTCTTTAGTAGAGACGGGGTTTCACCATGTTGACCAAGATGGTCTCGATCTCTTGACCTCATGATCTACCCGCCTCGGCCTCCCAAAGTGCTGGGATATTTACTGTTTTCTTGAAGGAAAGCCCCACTGTGTAGCCAGCAGAACTAATATGTTCTAGGCAGAAGAAATTCCCAGAATTTCTGAAAGGTTACTTCAAGGACAAAATACCTGTATTCCTCGCTTGTCCAGGGATCTGGTCTTACAGATTAGAAGTAGTCCTATTAGCCCCGAGGCGATGTCTCTCATGATGTCCACGTTACTGTAGTATGGTCTTGTTAAGCACTGGGCATCATTTTCTGTGGGTTCATCTAATTCTAAGATGTTCCACTTATAAGTATACGTTTCCCCTGGTTGAACTGCTCTGATCATGGTGTTACTGCCTGAAAGAAAATATATTCAAAATTATTTTCCTTTGCAAAGTTATTTCATGATAATAAATAAATAAATAAGCTTTCATTAGAATTGATTCATATTGCAAAAGGAATCCTTTAAATATTCTGCTTGGAACCTGGATAGCATGTAGCCATTAGAGTAGAGGCCGCTATGACACTAATAAAAGACACCATATTTTGCAACCGTTAAGAGATGAGATTCCTGAAGTGAAAAGGTTTTGGCTGTGATTTTTAGGATACTCCTACGTGTATACTCCCTGACTGCAGTAGTGACACCACTGGGCAAGGGGAATAGCAGAAAAACATGACAGCCTCTCAGAAGTCACTAGTGGGATTCAGTAGAAGTGAAAGATTCAAACCTGAGGTGAAGGAAGAGTTGCCTTCATCTTCATAAGGCGAGAAGGTCACTCCATGAGGATAAATGCTGTAGGGGCGGCTGGCCATATTTCTGAACACGATCTACAAAGTTAGATCAAATTTATTCTAGGGTTTCAGGTTGATCATGAGAACTAATCTGAGATGCTAGCTTTGCATATTCACCTTTTGGATGGTGTGTGTGTACACGCAGTGGGAAAATTAGATCTGTTTATCTGCAGTAACCTCCCCTCATCACCTGGAAGGAGAATTGGAGAGCATATTCCACTCACACATTAAGGTGGAAAATGGAAGTGAAGTCTGACTTTAGAGGATAGGTTAGGAGAAGTGACGTTTTCCTCACAGTATCACCCTCTCCAAGCAGGTTCCCATTCCCCTGTCCTTCTCCTTTCGTTTGGACTAAATCTCATTTCGAATCTGCTCCTCATTTCTAGACCATGCTCCCCTTCCCCTGCCTGGCAGATTTTTTAGGATACTATCTTTGAAGTCATCTTCTCAGCTGGGTGCAGTGACTCAAACCTGTAATCCCAGAACTTTGGGAGGCCAAAGCAGGTGGATTACAAGCTCAGGAGTTCAAGACCAGCCTGGGAAACATGGTAAAACCTCGTCTTTATAAAAAAAATACAAAAATTAGCCAGACATTGGGGTGCATGCCTGTAGTTCCAGTTACTTGGGAGGCTGAGGTAGGAGAATCACCTGAGCCCAGGAGGTGGAGGCTGCAGTGAGCCATGATCACACCACTGCACTCCAGCCTGGGCAATGGAGTAAGAGCCTCAAAAAAAAAAAAAAAAAAAGCCACTTTCTTGAGAGGCACAGACAAATAGCCAGATCCTGAACTTCTAATAAGGTATGTCTGCACTTGCTAAGAGCATATAAAAGAGATCAGAAATGGAAGAAGGGAAAGACACGTGAAGAAAAAAAAAACTGCTTTTGTCCTTTGGGTATTTTAAATGAACAGAATAGACCTTGTCAGATGCATTATACACACAGGAGTCCTAGATAGTCTCTTTAATCTACAAAAGAGAACCTTAATCTTATCTTTTATTTGGTTGATTGTCAAAGCCTTTGGATCATCCTTTGTCAGTAGATTATCTGCATTCTAGGATTTTGTCAAAGATTGCAACCCTCAATTCTCTGCTGTCCAATCCTTATCTAGCTTGGTGAAGTGACATGACATTTAAGGACAATTGGCTGAGAAAAACTCCGTGTTCTTGATACATGGAGTTTACCTTCATAAGAGTCCAACTATACCTAGACTACACTAAAAAACGTTTGAGTAAAAATTGTTTTTGTTCAATTGTGTTTATTGCTATGTTCTTAGCTGTAATGAGAAACATTATTTTTTAAAGCTTTGCAACTTTTAATCTATTATGCCGGTTATAAGAATTTTGTTAAGGATACCATCCACTGTATCACTCAGCACTCTCTTTTGAAGAATTCATTAAAGAAGTTTTTCTTAGATCTTAATATCAGGGTAAATGGAGCTTTCTTTTTGTAGATGATGTAACCCTCACCCTGACATATTTCCTTTTTTTTTTTTTGAGATGGAGTCTCACTCTGTCACCCAGACCAGGGTGCAGTGGTGCGATCTTGGCTCACTGCAACCTCCGCCTCCCGGCTTCAAGCGATTCTTCTGCCTCAGCCTCCCCAAGTATCTGGGACTAGAAGTGCATGTCACCACATCTGGCTAATTTTTGTATTTTTAGTAGATAGGGGTTTCACCATATTTGCCAGGCTGATGTTGAACTCCTGACCTCATGATCCACCTGCCTTGGCCTCCCAAAGTGCTGGGAATATAGGCATGAGCCACTGCACCCAGCCATATTTTCATTTATACACTGGCTGCTATAAAGCTTAAGACAAAATCTGAAGACAGCCTTACAGGGTCGCATGGTATCTACTTATCTGTGGCTTTATTTTGTTTGTCCCCATATTCTATCCCAGTTACATAGACTCTTTCGTTTATGCCTTTATAATCTGAGAAATTGTCTTAGATCCTTTGTGTTATTCAGTAGGCTATAAATTAATGCAAATACCAAATAAAAACTAAAAGTTGTATTTGAATTTAAAATTATATGAATGCCTTTTTCTTTTAAAATTAAAAAAATAACCAGGTACTTCGTAATATTTTACTATTTAATTTCTCCAATGATTCTGTATTTCTGTTACTTACTTTGAGTGTGTCTCTGACCTGGGCTCTGATAATAGGACCCAAAATTCCGTCTTCTTTCATATGGGGATTCTGTATATGTTTGGTGAAGGACTCATCTTCGTACTGTGTGTAAATAACTTTCTTATAATGTTTTCCAATTCGGTTTGAGAAATTATCCAAATGCAGAGACCTGTATTTTCTTAAGGTGAAATAAAATTTTAAAAAATTAAACCACTTTCTCAAATAGAGATCTCAATACGATGGGGAAACGCTTGTGCTGAGAAGTTCTGCTCTCAGATGAGCTAAAATGCCAGTTCTCTAAAAATTTCTTAGTGTAGTTTGCAAAGTCCCGATGCTTTCTGTCAGTTGAAAAACTGGAAACTTCTGAATTGTCTCCTGCATCACTGATAAAAGTCATAGGTGATTGGTTAGAAGCAGCTACTTAGATCTTCCTGTCATTCTCACTGAGACAGCAGACGTTTGATATCTCTCGCTGAAAGGACACTACACATTTTTGTAAAGTCTCTCCTATTACTTAATCTATGACAGCCTTTTTTGTTTTGAAAGTATTTCTTAATCCCTAAAAGCACCTTCTCACCCCAGGAAGCCTTTACTAGCACTATTTCTTATAGTTCTATGCTACTGGGCTTTCTTCCACCATCTAACCAGTCCTCAGAGATGATTGAAAAACAACCTCCTTCACCCATTTTTCACAGCTACTGAGATAAATACTTTGGGAGCAGCAACACGAACCACTTTTCCCCTACCCTCTTTATGCCTTAGTTTGCAAAAGCAACTATAGGCAGCCAAAAAGCATATTTCAAAAAGCTCAACATCAATGATCATTAGTGAAATGCAAATCAAAACCACAATGAGATGCCATCTCAGGCCAGTCAGAATGAGGACGATTGAAAAGTTAAGAAACAACACTTGCTGGCAAGGTTATGGAGAAGAAGGAACACTTATACACTTCTGGTGGGACAATACACTAGTTCAACCATTGTGGAAGACAGTATGGCAATTCCTCAAAGACCTAAAGTCAGAAATATCATTTAACCCAGCAGTCCTTCAATAGAGTATCTGTCTATTTTATGAATTTATTTTGCACAGTGGAAAGCAGTGACTGTTGCCAAACACTCCTGGATTCCTATCTCAGTTCTGTCACCAATTTTATGCCCTTGGCTAAAGTTCTTTTTATTTTGTTCTTTTTGCTAGTTTAATTCTTTTTAATAGAAAATACATTCGCGTAATTTTTATTACAGTGAAAACTCTTACTTATATCCGATAACCGTCAATGTGACTTCCCTAGCAGTCCTTCAGTTTTCTTGGTGGCCACATATTAATTTCATGTGTATAATTTCAGAATATCTTTATGTACATAAACGCAAATGTGTCTTACAAATAAGCAAATATAAATATTCTTATCCCCTTCATGCCTTTAACAAAAGGCAGCTATATATACATGCTAGATTATATCCCAACTTTTCAATTTAATAACATATCTTGGAAAACTTTTTGTATTAGTGCATATAGAGTGTTTGCATCCTCTTTTTGATGCTTAGTATTCCACTGTATGAATGCATCAAAATTTATTAAAGTAGTTCCTACTGATGGACATTTTGAGTTGCTTTCAATCTTACTACTACTAACATTGCAGCAGTGAATATGTTGTACATACATCATTTCACCTGTGAACCAGTATATCTGTATAGTTAGATTTCCAGAATGAGATAGCTGAGTCAAAGGGTATATGCATTTAGAATTTTGATTCATATTCCCAAGTTATCCTCCAGAATCCCTTTACCAATTTAATCTTCCACCAGCAATATATGATAGAGCTTATTTCTCACAGCCTTGTCAACAGATAATGTCACCTGGATTTGTGAATCTGTTAGATCAAAATAGTATTTCTGTGAAGTTTAATTTGCATTTCTCTTATCATCAGTGAAGTTGAATAACTTTTCAAGTGTTTAAGAGCTATTTGAATTTCCAAATCTCTTAATCTCTCTGACCCATTTTCTCATCTATAAAAAGAAATAAGAGCAGTATCTGGTTTGTAGAATTGAAGTGAAGCTTTCAGAAAGGGGTTAATACAGTGCTTGGCAATGGCAAGCATTCAATACGTGTTAGCTGCTGTTGTTATGTTTATTATGATTAGGCTGAGTTTCTTTGGTGATTTGGGAATAATTCAAGATTAATTTTTACAAGAAGGCTTAAATAGAAACCAATACATGTGTCCCCTTGAGAGCTGTCGACTTATAACATTTCACCCCCAAACATCTAGGGCCCTATGGAATGTATCTTGAACCTTTGCCCAGTGGTATGAACCCCAACAACTCACTTGTCCATATTCGCTGGTATTACAGGTGCGTAGTCCCACATGATTTCCTCTGCAGCAATGAAGTATTCCCACCTCTTAATGTGCCGCCTCTGCTCACGAGTTATTTTCTTAAGTCTCCTGGTTTCCTTTGGGCAGTTTTTAATGTCAATGTAAGCCTGCATCCCAGCTGAGTTAGGACAGCAAGACAATGAAATAACTTGAGAGAAGAAATTATGGTTGATGGAAATGCATATCCTTTAAATCAATTTGTGGAAGATTTATATTAATATAGAAACAGTGAAAGTAATGCTAAGGCAACTTTTGAAGATTTTAGTTTGGAACTCATTTAGTGGCATCCAGAAAAGGCAAGAATTTAAAAAGGGAGGAAGAGAGGAGGGGTTAGGGAAAAAACTTGGAAAGATTCCCTTTATTTCTTCTTGAGCAGACAAATTTATTATAATTTTCAACTTCTTAAGACCCTATGAATTATGTCTTGTTGAATTCTCATTTTTCTGTCATCTGTCCCTTAATCTGTAAATGAAGAAAGCACTAGTACTTAATGAGATTGTTGTTAAAAATTAAATATTAATAGCAATACATAATGTACTTATCCTCAACAAAAAACAAAAGTTTCATTGTTTTAATATTATTGGGAACTCTATCTTTCACGGATGGTTTTATTACTTCAAATATAATTTTGGCTGCCCATGTGAAAAGAAATGGAAATGATCTCATGAAGTATCTCCTTCTTATACATGTTACTTATACATTATCTCCTCCTTATATGTGTTGCTTATAATGATTCCTATAGTGATATGATTTACTTAGATTTTAGTCTCTGTTTACATGAACCCTCCTCTCAACAGTTTTTCAGCAAAAATGTGTAGTAGAACAGTTATTTTGTTTACACGACATCACATAACCTGGGCTGATTTATTTTCCCACTTGAATTCACCAGTATCCTTTAGAGCTCACCCCCCAGCTGTTTAGATGCCAGGTATGATCCATTCAACACACATTCACTGAGTTCCTCTCCATGCTAGACTTTTTATTCATGCCACTGTAAAGGTTAATGGTTTCAAGCTAAGCTTTTTACACTTTCCATAACTTAGTGCTTCTGTAAATTTGCAGATGTTTGTTTTGTGCTGGCATCTAGGTCTTTTTCCTCTGGCTATATATGGAGTAATCCCAAGAAAGAATATCTATGTATGGATTTGTTTCCTTCCTCCTTTCTTTTATCAAGGAAGTTAGAGACCTTTTCAGCTTTTGCTTAATATTTTTTAAAAAAATATTTGTCAATTCTTTTACTTTCTCCATCCCCCACAAGCAATTTCTAAATCTAAGAGCAGAGTATCTAAGTTTAGTTGTTAGGAACCAAGGCATGTTTCTCTGGGGTGCAGGTGGCTTGAAAGGGCAAGGGAGAAAGAGGGAGTTAGTGCCTGGGAAGAAAGGAATCTGTATTCAGAAGCAAGACTGTCAGGAGAGTTTCTTACCTTGCAAATGTTTTGGGGTGAGAGAAGATATGATCCACTTTCCCTCTGGGCTCACAGTCATATTTGCAGTAGTGGATGTAGCACTGACAAGGGTGATGGCTGAGACCTTATGATGGTTCTCCTCCAGGACCTGGCCGTTGAAGTGAATGGAGAACAATTCTGGCCCCGAGCTCATTCCAAGCAGATGCCAGCTGATATGTTCATAGGCACAAACTGTTATATCTGAGAAACAGAGAGAGATACAGGCCAAAATACGCATTTGGGCATTCTGTGATCAAACATTCACTCACCAAATGTATTGAGCACCTGCTGTGTGTCAGGCATTGTACAAAGCTTTGACGAAACAGACACTCCAGTTGTAGTTTCTGCCCTGCAAAAACTCAGGGCAAAAACACTCAGACATCTGAGTGACCAGCAAACAAGCAGTCACAACTCATTGTGATAAATGGCATTATACAGGTAAGAACAGAGCCTAGACATGGTGGATGTAAACTCAGAAACACAGGGATTGCTAAATGATTAGTCCAAGAGGGGAATCAAGGAGCTAACCAACTGTCCTGGTCTGAGGGGTTTCCCAAGATTTAGGACTTTCGTTGTTAGAACTGGTAAAAAGTCCATGGCAAAATGGAATGTTTGGTCACCTCGATCTGATCTCAGCTGGAGGGAGTCAAGTCACTAGAATACCTAATAGGGCTGAGTTCAGGCGCTTAGTCCTCTCAGCTCTCTAACTCGAGCTCAAAGTGCTGCCTACGGGAAGAAGATGTGAAGATGATGTGAGGATTTTCAATTGCTTTTTTACTCACTTTTTGATTGTTTTAATGAAAGGCAATGAAATCACTTTGCAGACTACACACTCTCCTTAAAATGCAGTGCACAAGTCCTCATTATGCCGGGCCATTGGGAGCTTTTCATGGAAGAAGTAATGATAACTGAATATAAAAACTTAGTTTTGTTCCTCCTTTGCTCCTACAGTCACTGGGAAAATGTTCATTTTCTCTGTAGGGAGGCTTCGTCCATGGCTTTTAGGTTTACATTTTACATTTCAGTTACATAATGACCAGACACTAGATAATGGGGCTAAGAATTAGTTCCTTATCCACACAAGGGCTGTCGCTTTTAGGAGATCATTGCAACAAAGCCGGGATTCCTTGTGTCACTAGTAAGAAATAGAAGCTAGAATCTGAGCTCAAAAAGCTGGAAGGTAGGAGCCTTTGGTGGAAGTATTTATCCACACCAAGGAAATGCTCATGCTGAGTTCAGCAATTAATGTATCTGTGTTAGCATTTATCATATGTATTCAATTTATTCTGCTTTATAAGGCAGATGGTTTTGCCAACGTTTACTATTCTTAGTTTCTACTAATGGTCTTTCCCTACCCTGTCCCATTTGCACCCAATTATTCTTTTGGGAACTATAAATTCCTAAACTCTAAGCTTAGATCAATTTATTTGTATTTTTGTGCATATGGTTTGGCCTTTTTTTGGCATCCATACTTACACAGATTGTTCACTCTGCCAGGAAATAGTTATTAGGATAAATGAGTAGTCTGCTTTTGTAAGTAAGCACAACTAATTGTCAAGGGCCACAGAAGGTAGAGAAGTGAGTAAGGTCTGAACTCAGATTATTTAAGGTCGAGGCCAGTCAACCAAGCCCCAGGTTTTACAAGCTCCTGGTACCAGAATGCGGGATCAATACTGAGAGTCATATGAGTATATTTTCCAAAAACCAAGTGGAAAATGTAGTCAAATGAAATAGAATACAATTTAAAAACACTACCCAGACCCCAACTCTTAACAAATACTGTGTTTTAGTCAGTGAAGTCATTTGTGGTTTTCAGATGGCATGAGAGAATAACCTCTAAGAAGTTTAGTGTTTTGAAATATGGCTTATTTAGTAAAGTGACATTTTCCTTTTTTAATGTTTTTCCCTCAGGCTAGCATAATATACGCTGGATCTTTAGCTGTAGGTCAGTTCTACCACAGAGACATAGAAAAGCTGTGGTCTACATGGGAGTAAGTTACTTTTTCTCTCAATGGTTGCGATGATTTTGCCTTCTTACAAGAGTCCAAATGCAAATGCAAATAGAAAACATTCTAGATGCCATTGAATATGACCCTTCTACCACCTTTTAAAAAGCCGGTAGTGTTTTGTGTGTTGGGGATTACTTCTAATCTGTTCATCTTCACTGCAGTTGTCTTTATGCAATCTTTCTGTTGACCCTTCCTGCTAAGGGTTGTCCTTGAAGAAGACGTGGTCATCATATAGTAGGAACTGCAGAACTCAGAGAGAGAGGCTGAGCTGATACCTAGAAGGTCTTTTTGAAAGTACAGGCCGAGGTGAAACCTAATCAGATCACTGTATCTAACAAGGCTGCACATTTCTTCTCTAGCTTCTAATCTGTCTCTTGTATTTCCTGTTTTTTAAGAAATAGATGGGAAAATATTACCTTCTTGATAAGGAGTTGCAAAATATTGAGCAAGATCAACTTCCCTAGTTCGTTGAAGAAAACAACAGGATCAAAAAACAATAGGACCAAAGAATCACTAATGATTTTACCATTACTGAATGGTGCACACCCCTCACGTTACCTGGCATTGTCCCATTCGCATATCCATTGACTGTGTACATTAGGGATGATGACGGGCTCCAGCTCTTGCTTTCATCAAACACAGCAAACAGTAGCACAAGTTGCTTGTCAAACATCTTCTGTGTCCCATCTTCAGTTAGGGTCCCTATGAAAGGAAAGACATATTTTCAGTAGCACTGCAGATAGAAGACTCATGAGCTTTCCTGGATAGCCAAGAGTTTAGGGCAAGCAATCAACCATGATGATATCAACTTGAAGAAGTTCTTATTTTTAAAAATAGCATATTAAGTAGTAATGGTTCTAGGGTTATTAAAAATCTTGTGCCACACTGTTTTTTTTTTTTTTTTGACACCTTGTTGCCTTGGGGAACAGGCTTTACTTCATCCAGTTTGGAAAGAAAACATTTGGTGACTCTCAAGACTGTGAAAGTATCCACATCCTCCAGTCTCAATAGACCAGTATATAGATACATTAGCTCAGTCGGTAAACACATCATGCCCCAAGTTTAATGCTGTCATCTTATTTGTATATGAAAGGGGACATTAGGGAACTGGTTGGAAGTATTAGCATTAACTTATTCTCACTATGAGAAAAACATGCTGCTGATGATGGTAAAATGAAAGGAGAGCCTTCGTAAGTTTTAAGATTTTTTGCAGTACCATCAAGTATCTTGTGTATACCAGGGAATGAAAAAAAATGTATAATGAGTAAACACATTGGGAAGGTATGAGGTATGGTCTGGGTGTATGTACAGGCAGATGGTGAGTCCATCAGGTTATTTCCCATACTATGGCTCACTGTGGTTGTCTGCTTGTTTTAATGAAAGATGGGCTGGATTCTCATGGGGTGAAATGAAGATCTAAGCTTGCTTCTAAGAAGCCCAGCCGATAAAAGTTCTTATAAAGTCACTTGAGTGTGTTTGAAACCTACCACCCAACGTGTTCAGCTTGTTTATAAGAAAGGAAGCTGGCATTTAACATGTTCATAGACCAAATTACCAGCCCAAACCCCAGCTATGTCAGATGGGTTAGCCAAAGTTCTTTCTAAGACCTCTTTCAGGAGAGTACAGGTTGCTATACACTTTCTAAAAGACTTCGGCCTTGAGGTAAATGTTACAGATCATACAAACATGACATCAGAACACACTCTCAAACAGGAATTTGCTTGGGAGAATCTTGAGGACTGAGATGGAGGAGGAATGAGAAGAAGCAGAGGTGGATACACACCCTGAAATAGCAGGTGTTTTTTTCTCCTGCCAGGCAATGATCTGGTCTCCATGCCCTCTTCCTCTGCTTGATGTACAAGAAGTTACCAAGATGTTCTCAAGCTTTGTCCCATGACAGAACTCCTGACCATTCCAACATTTCATTGTTGAATCTTTTGTTGGAGGTGTTCTTACCTTCTTTACAGATGAGCAGAGGTCCAACCAGCCCAGAGTTGAAATCTTCGATCAGATTTTCATGGGAGTAATAGATGTGTGTGAGGCATGGAGGGTCATCGTGGGTGGGCCCACTGTCCTCACTGATACTCCATTCATAGGTGTATTCTTGGCCTGGAGCCACAGCATCATCCATCTTCTCCACAGGGAATGTGTGGTCAAGGTAAGAAGCACCTGGAGAAGTAAGAGCCATCAAGACATGTAAGCAGTTTCTGAGGACTGCGTTTTCACCATCCTCAAATCTGGGGATAGCTAAGATGAGCTCTCCGGAGATGCATATGTCCTTCAATAGTGAACTTTTACTATTTGGGAAGATTCATGTATTCCCATTTCTATGCCCATGTAGTTATAAAGGCTTTGATACAATGGTTATCTTAAGAATAACAAACGTTATTTTCAAATTAAGGTTTAGCAAGTTAATTTTCCCGGGTACCTGAACAATTATTATTTAAATATAATCAGAGAATTGAATCACCTTGATCAGTAAAACATCTCAGAATATAAGAATGGGTTATATCTTCTTTGTGGTATTTAACAAGACATACTCAGCCTATTAACACGAAATGGGAGGATAGTCAGAGCTGGTTTTATATTGTTTTGTTTTGCTATTTCAGATCTTCTTTCCACCTTCTGTGATCCTCAGCTCTATTTTATCTCTTTATTTCATGTTAGCCATCTGATTATCTCAATTTTTTCCCCAGTGCCACAGCATCTCACTCCCTTATGCAGTCTGGTTGTCTGTATTAATACGAAATGTGTCCATCCTGTGAAACTTAGATGTCTTACTTCTGTTCTTTGTTCACCCAAAGACCTACCATTCACACCTTCGCGTATATTGGATTTTCCCTATTGGTAGGAGAGGGAAAGAATGAAGAAACTGGTCTTCCTTAATGAAGAGAGGGAACTGAGTTGCTCAATATTAAAAGAAGTGTAGAGGGTTGGGTGGGGTTTTCAATAATAAAATGGAGCAAGTGAGGTCAGGAAGGGGAGAGGTGAGTGCCATAGATAGCCAAGTGGAATGGGCAGTTTCCTCTGCCTGAGGATTTAATTAGTAAAAGGCTCACTATCATCCGCTGGTACCAGAATTTCTCTTTGGGATGCAGTTTTTTTTTTTTTTTTTTTGGTACAATCAGCTTGATAAATTGTTTAAGAAAAGAAGGTGAGACCATCAGTGTAGATGTAGGCAGACAACAAGGATCTGGGGGAAAAAAAGCCTGAAATGGTTTACATGATGGGGTAAAAAGCCATTAAAAACTACTCTCACTGAAGCAACTATACTTTGTGAAAAACTGAAATGCTTAGTCCCTCCCCTGTCCTTCCTTCCCCTTACTTTCTCTTCCATTTCTTTTTTTCTGTTCCTTGTTTGTTTTCTTTTCCCCTTTCTTCCTTTCTTTGCCTCTTTCCTTCCCTCTTCCCAATCTTTCTTCCCCCTCTTTCTTCCTTCCATTATCTTTATTGAGGTATAATTTGCATACAATAACATTTACCAGTTTTAAGTATAATATTTGCTGAGCTTTGATTTTAAAAAAGCACACAATCTTATAGCTGTAGTCCCAATGAAGATAGAAAAGAGTTCCATCATTCCAAAACATTTCCATGTGCCATTTGAAGCCAGTGCCCTCCAGGCCCAGACAACCACTAATCTTCTTTATTTTACTATAATTTGTCTTTTCTGTAATGTCATATCAATGAAATCATTATTATATACCCTTTTGTGTGTGATTAGTATTAGCTAGTATGGTATATATTTTTCCATCCTTTATTTTTTATCTATCTTTGTCTCGTTTAAAGTGGATTTCTGAAATTCTGCACACAGTTTAGCATTGCTTTTAATTCAATCTTATTTGTTTCTTAATTGTAGTGTCCTTTCCATTTATTTTTAATGTAATACTGATATGGTTAGATTTAAAACTGCCATCCTTATATTTATTTTCTCTGTCTATCTGGTCTTTATTCCTTTTTGTTTTCTTTTGGATTGAGTGTATTTAATGATGTTTGGTCTCCATTGTTGGCTTGTTAGCTTTGTTTTATTAGTGGTGCCCTTCAGTTTACAATATATAATATATATATAATACATTTTTAACTTGTCACAGACTTCCTTCAAGTAATATTATACTATTTCACTTTTAAGAAGCTTGAATATATTTTTTTCTTCCCTCCCAGCCTTTGTGCTATTGTTATGCATTTTACTTAGATATACATAATATACCCCACAATAAATTGTTACTATTTTTACTTTAACATTTAGATAATCAATTGTCATTTTAACAGATTAAAATGGGGAAAATTTTGTCTATATTTATTCATTTCTGGAACTTTTCATTCCTTCTTGTGAATCTAAATGTCTCTCTGATATAATATTTCTTCTATCTAAAGGAATTCCTTTAGCATTTTTTTCTGTTCTGCTAGTGAGAAATTATTTCATGTTTGTATATATAAAACACTCTTTATTTTGCCTTCATTTTAAAAAGATATTTTTGCTTGGTATAGAAAAGTAGATAGATTCCCCTATCCCCTACCCTCACAACACATTAAAGCTGGCCCTAATTGTCTTCCGTCTTGGTTAGTTTCTAATGATAAGTCTGCTGTCATTTCTTGTTTCTGTTCCCCTGTATACAATGTGTCTTTTGATCTCTCACTACTTCCAGTATTTTCTCTTTATCACTGGTTTTCAGCAACTTGATTATGATGTGGATTGGTGTGGTTTTCTTCATGTTCCTTCTTGGTTTTGTCAAACCTCTTTAATCTGTTGGTTTGTAGTTTTCATTACATTTGGGAAGTTTTCAGTCATGATTTCTTCAAACATTTTTTCTGTTCCTGCTACTTCTGGGACCCAGTTACACATATGTTAGGTCACTTGATATGGTCCCATAGTTCAATGATGCTCTGTTCGCTTTCTTCAGACTTTTTAATCTCTGTATTTCATTTTGCACAATTTCTATTGTGATGTGTTAATATGTTCTACTATGTTCTTTCACAGTGTGTAATGTGCTGTTAATTTCATCCAGTGTTTGTTTTTATTAGTGGTGCCCTTCAGTTTACAATATTTTTTCATCCTTTATTTTTTACCTTTATTTTCTATTTATTTGTTTTTTACTTTCCATGTCAGCAATTGTATTTATCTACTTCAGTTCTGTGTATGCATATTTATATTCTCTATCTCCTCATCATGCTCATGCTTTTCTCTACTTTCTGGAACATACTGGGAAGCTTTCTGATAGCTGTCATAATGTCTCTGCCTGCTGCTTCTGTCATCTCTTTCGCTTCTAAATCTGTTAGGTTTTTTCCTGGTTATGAGTCATCTCTTTCTGCTTCTTCTAATGCTTGTATTAACATTGTGAATTTACTTTGTTGTTTGTTGCATTCTTGTTAACTAGTATTGAGTTTTATTCACAGTTAGGATACTTGAAATCAACTCGGTTCTTTCAAATCTTATTTTTTATTCTGTTACCTCCTCAGCAGCCTGTAGTCTAGACTAATTTTATCCACCTACTGTTTCTAAATCCTTCTGAGAATTCTATCCAATGCTCATCTATTAGGGGATCTTACTACTTTTGATAGTAGGAACATAAACTATTGCTGGTCCTGTGTAAGATCCAGGGGCTGTTCCACCCGTTCCTTTCACATGACGTGTTTCTTACCCTCAGTACTTTCCTCACATGTATGTGCAGATCAGTATTCAACTTGACAGATCCTTCTGTGGATTCTCAAGAGCTCTTTCTCTGTGATTATACTGTCCTCTCTAGACTTCTGCCCTACAAATCACAAATTCTAGCCACTTGGGCTTCTCTGAAGTCCTCAACTCACAAAGAAAATCTGAGTTTGTGAACTTTGTGCTAGCGTAAAGTGGACCTCATCACGTCTTCCCCCAACCCACTCCGAAGGATGGCTTAACGCTAATAACTAATAATTACTACAGGCCGTACGTTCACTTTGATAATAAAGTTGTCAGCAGCTGAAAAATTATAAAAGCTTAACTCACTTCCTCTAAGTTATAACACAATTCTAGTCTATAAAAGAAAAAAAGTTTATGGAGGAAGTATCTCCACTGATAAGCAGGAAGCATTATCTCTGAAAGATTACAAAAGAGCTTTTGTAGCAGAGCACAAACAGGGCTGATAAGGAGAGTTGCCCTCTCAGGTCAGACCTTGTGTATGAACAGGAATTAGCATGGCTAGTTGATGAGCTGCACTACCTATCTTGAATCAAGCATGACAGCCCTTCTTCAATGCTTCTTGCTACATGGCCTCATAAAGTTGAAAAATGATGTTTCTGGACACAAAGCTTCCACTATTTCAACTGCTAAAATATCACAGGGGGTTTCCGTAATAGAAAATGATAGTCTTTCCACTGCCTTCACAAGCTCCCAAAAGGACAAAACATTATATTCTTTGCAGGGTAGGAGATAACTTTTGAAGTTCTTCTTTCCTTTCTTTTTCTGGGTAAATGTGTGCTCTTCCTTCACATGCCAGATCAAATATCATCTTACACCTTTCTTCATCTCTGATTATAACATATGTTTGTTGGTTGGTTTTTTTTAACAGTACGCATTGCGATTTGTAATTTAGTATTTGTGAGATTATATGGCTAATGATACTTTCTCCTGCTAGATAGTGTGCATGGAAACAATCACCATCATACAACATGGAGAGAGAAAGGTGGGAGAAAGGCCAGAGTTTAAATGTCTTGGTTGTTGTATCATTTGCTAATGGTGTGAACTTGGGAAAGTTTCTTGAAGTCTCTTTTAGCCTCAGTTTTTCCACTCATAATTTAAGATAATAGAATCCCTTTTTCCTAGAGATAATGTTATCGTTTTTGATGGGTTTTGAGGACTGGAAAATATTTGTGAAATTTCTGGCATCTAACAAATGCTGTGGGAGCCTGTGGGAATACATGTTCACATTTTGGTTTAGTATTTTCTTTCCCAGCCATATTGCAATTAATACAGCCTCTTTCCTTCATGTTCTACTTTGGATAAGATATATCTTAAGTGTTCTGGAGTTCTGGTACCACATGTGAGTAAGACAGAAATTAGTGATTTTCTTAGTTCGGCTTGCTTTAACAAAGTACCGTAGACTGGGTGGCTTATAAACAACGGATATTTCTTTCTAATAGTTCTGAAGGCTGGAAGTTTAAAATCAGGGTGGCAGCATGGTTGGGTTCTGGTGTGGGGT